GTCATAGTGCGGCTGGAAGGATCACGTCAATTGAAAAACCCACCTCATCAGGACTCGAACACGTGATCTTCCGGCCTATAGCATAGTGCCACAACCAACTACGCTACCGCGTGCCCCGCTTCATTGTAGGAGCCCTCAAATAATTAAGTTAGAAGTGTTCTAGGCTTGCGGTTGCATTGGAACTTACCGCTGGATCTGTAAGCAATATTAACGAAACCACAGGATAAAGCGTCTAGTTACTGATGGGTTAAGTCAATATTAACGTTGGAAGTTACTCCAGTTTTCAATTAAGAAACTTTATGATGAGTTAAAATCCAAATTGAGAATGCACTTTATAGAAGTAGACCAAAATTGATAAATCAATAAAAAAAAGTTCAGAAAAAAAACATGTCAAAGAAGGGACTCGAAAGACGCAGTTGGCTGATACATAAATCATAATCTTAAGCCAACAAAACTAACTGGTGAACAACCCTGCTTTAGCCTACGGCATTTCTTCCAAAGAATATCAAAAAGCCTGTTTTACTAGAATTGTAGAAAGATGACTCCAATGGAGCACACAACTTTCTACATGATTTCTTTGCGAATTTCATTTACGGCACTGGCGACATAAATAAAGTTCTTCTTTCTTTCATCTGACACATCTCGTGCTGAATTCCTCTGACAAAAACGAGAAACGTAAAGCAATTTACAAGTTTGTTGTTGACAAACAAATTCAATATATAGATATCTACGAGGGAGAGTCAGTAAATAGGTCACAAATGAATATAAAACGTAAAACATGTGATATTCGAACCTGGAAAAAACATTTATTTCTCGACATATCCTCCACACTTCTCCCATCGCTTTACCAGTGCGTCGAAACCCGCAACACGGAAGTCTTTCGACTGTTGTCTCAGCCACTTCTGCATCTGCGTTTCGACATCTTCGTCATCAGCGAAACGTTTGCCACCAAGGCGGAACCGCTTTAAGCGACAAACGGTTTCCACCGTAAACAGGAAACATTTCTTCACGAATATTCTTTGCGCTGAGTCTTTTTGACCACAACAAAAGCAAAACAGAACTTGTTCTTCCGTAGCACACTCCTCAAGCACGGTCACCATTTTGACTACTGAAACCAGCCTCTGAACATGCGCATGCGCGTCTGCTACCAGATTGTCACGAAGCTTGACTGTGCTGCTACCTTGTGATACACATAGAAAACCTATTACGTCCATTACGGCTGTTTTACTTCAAACTGTGATCTATTTACTGACTCTCTCTCTCTCTCGTTGCTCTATGGTATGCACTGAATTCTGTGAGAAACGTGTTGTAGAAAATGCTTGTAAACTACTGTTATTTAATGATATACTCGCAAAGAACTCATCCCGAAAATTCATATTCTAAACTCTGGCACTACTTAACGCCCTTGTCTATTCCAGCGTCAACAAAAATAATTTGATCAGCATGCGAAAGTTATCTTAATTTAAACATGTGTTACAGAACTAGTTATTGCAAATATGTGTTGTTTACTCTGACGCCTGTAAAATAATTTGACAGAACAAGGTTTGAACGACTACGCTCTGAGTGGTCACTTTTTAAGGTTTCTCTTTAGGGCTAAGAACTGATTCGGTAAGGATCCTTCTTCTCCGCTTATTTCCTAAATTCGTGTCAGGACAAGTGGCAGGACTCCATATCACCGCAATGCCACATACCGTCAAAGGATAAGACAGGGGAACGAGACTAAACAGCGCCACCCTGGGCAGGGTCCGAACCTGCTATCCGAGTGTTCGACCGTCAGCAGCTCTGTAATCGGTTTGTACAGGTCCACCAGTTTACTGTTGCGCCATATGACCAGTACCGGAAATAAAGTACTGACAATGGAATCCAAATGCATGACTGGAAACATACAAGCCAAGGTAAACATGGACAGCTCTTCGATTGCGTAATCGAATCTATGCTACAACATTTGAAACACGTTTAACCTTCACGCCACGTTGAATAAATACAGCTTCAAAGTACCCGATAAGTACATACGTCTTTTACTGTATGAGAGTTCAATATAATCCAGTTACGTGGCAACGTTATTTACCTAGGTACAACAATAAACTGTCCTAGATTCAGAGAAACAGGAATTAACCAACTGTATTCCATGAGAACGAGTAAGGGAATGTAGGCACAGCAACACTTTTCTTTACTCATCTCAAAAGTGTACTTAAAATAAAATGTACTATCACGTGTTTAGTGACTAGACACTAGACGGGGTTTTGATTCGTAATTGGATTTATTGGACACTTACAACCCGTAACTACTAGTAATTGTAAAAGTTTGGTACAATAGGCCAGAAGCGGCCGCAGTACAAGGGACTTAGTCTCACCCCACTAGCAATAAAAAAAAATTGTAAAAGTTCTAAGAATCTACACACTTCAGAATTAACTGCAGCACGCATGAAGTCTTCTGTTTGTTGTTTCCTCACCAGCCGTTGCCTGGTAACGGCTCTCAACACCGCAGATTCCTCAGCTTCCGTGTTCACGTCCTTACCGGCTGTCTTGCCTGTTAGCTCCTCTTGGCCGTAACTCTTAGCCACCGACTCCTAGCCGTATCTGGCTACCACTCGCTTTCGCAGGCTAGCGGTCGCTTCCGACTCAGAATTTGTCTGTCTCTGAGCTAACTAACTACAGTCAGAGTGACAGTTGCTTTAAGACTGGACGTTTACCTCCAATCAGTTCGTCTTGACGTCAAGACCCTTGAGTCTCATGACCAGACTGAACCCTTACGGTCATAGTCCTTATGTAACATCTCTGACGAGAGGATGGGTTTGTTTCATACGAACAGGCTTCTCCTTTGTCAAGTGTACGTATCGCACAAATAGCATAGTTCTACATGGTTATGGGGAACGAATTTCTTCCCAGGAAGCGGTCAGTCCGATAAAGTGATACGATGTATCGCATTTATCAAGCATGTCAGTGACAAACCATCAGATCTACCAATTCTTCATTCGTGTCATGGAAAAGCATTGCACTGTCATATGCTCTCCAACGTTCAATGCTGAAATTTCTAAAAACAGAAAAAAAAAGGAGTCCACAACTTCATTTGCTTCTATTTCGCCTTGTACTAGTAATGAAATCTGGGAGGGTACAACGAGTGGACAGTGAGAACCGCTTCGACGGCGGAGAATGAAATGAAGAGGCAACTTAAAGATGAGTCTTCTGTAAATTTGTTGTGAGGGTCGGAACTAGCTGGGGATCGGGCTGCAGCATTCTCGAACTCAGTGAGAGGTGTTAGCTTGTGCCAGCACACAGAATTCGTTATGATAAACAGCAACATACATGTATGCTCCGAGATGCAATCAACAACACACGAGCCGAGATCTAAAATATCAAATTTTCACTGCCCAATTCTGCCAACGACGAATGATATAAAACCCGTACTTCTGTTTCTAACTTTTCAAAATGAAATATCTGCCAAAACAACAACTCATCTCAAAACCCTCGACCTATACAAAGAATTTTACGTTCAAAAGAAGAAAGTTACTACCTGTCACATTTGTAATTACCTCTGCCGCAAGATTTCAGCTCATCAGATTCTCGATTGTGCACTTTGAAAGCATGGAATAGAATCCGTGGTCGGCCGATAGGTTAAACTGATGCTGGCCCTCGCCAGCAAAGTAATTCTTGGTTCATACTCCCGCGGGATGCATGACCAAGATTTTTGTTCTACTAGACACGTATGTGTTTCGAAGTGGTGCCACCTCTTCAACGAGATGAGGTGTCTGACTACTACCGGTTCACTCCCCTTCTACAGGGGGGAGGCGACTCCAGCGGGCACTCACTGATTAACAGGTCCTGTCCTCCACACAATACTGACTGACTGACTACTAAATTGTTGCTGGCCCTCTGCAGCACAGCGATTTTTGGCTCCGCATCCTACGAGGACTAATGACCATATATTACTGTCTGACAGCTCTGGGAACCTTCTTTGAGATCCATTTTAATATTAGCCTATTAATATTGAACTATGTCTCCCGTCTCCCAAGATGTCACTTCCCTTCACTTTTTGTAAATAATTTATCACCTGCCCGTGCATGCTATACACTTTACCCATTCATATTCCTTCATATGATCATAGTAATATAATTTGGCGAAGAATACTAATTATTGTGCTCCTCACTGTGCAATTTTCCATAGGCTCCTGCTATTTCCCCTTTATATAGCTATTTAGTAACTTTAGTTTTTATGAGTTAACATTTTACACTTCCTACTGATTTTACCATCTTCACAAACTGGGTATAAAAACACAGTCAGGTTAGAGTCACTTTATCTTATCTGCAGTAATCTGGATAAACAATTATCATCTATCCAGACGGGTATACCAAGCACTCTTTCAAAAAATTCATATAGCACAGAAGATTAAAATCCAGTATTTTCCATCAAAGGAGCAACGTGAATAAAATTTCCATGTTCAAACGAAAGACATGAATTATTAATGTTCTTTACAGTCATAAATACACTATACTACAACGTTTCCTGACTACCAAAACTACACAAAGATAACTCTCTTGAAGAATTTATAATTCAACTTACACAGTCCCACAACCGAAAAATATCCCGCGCAACGCTCCATGTACGTACAATGAACCTATACAGTGTATGCACTGAACTCTACTTTAAAATGTAGACATGTGAGCGCTACCTATTGTATGCTTGATGAACTAATATAAAATCGTGTGGGATAGGCCTACAAAACTTTGAAAACTTTCAGCCAGTTGCAAACACGAAAGATGTATATACGTGTGGTCCCTTTCTGCAGCGAAATTCGCTTCCCACTGACATAAAGAGTTCTTCGCAAAATGTCTGTATTCTCTTTTGTGGGCATTTACACCGCACAGAAACGTCTGCGACCTAAATTATAAGTTTCATGACATCAATGTACAACCACAACTCACTTTCAAATCTCGTCTTTTAATTGTTGCCTGTGATCATAAAATATCGCATGCAACTCACAACATGGTAATATTTACTTACCTTTCTCTTCCTTTATCACATCTGTTGAAGTTACGGGATCGTAAATACTTTTATGTTGTTGAAAAGTTGTCACACTGTCCACTACTGTTTCGCTCGTTTCAGCCATTTTTAGTTTCTACGGAAACTTCCTAATTTGGAACAAAACTTAGCTCGAAGTTCGGCGAGGTTGAACGATGTCTGAGCCGTAAAATTTCCGATAGACAGTCTTCCGCCATCTATGGGTCGGAATCTGAAATATACAAAAATAGCAATACAGAAGTATACATTTTAATCGAACCCATATGTCGCAATACACGTATAGCATTAACCAGTATTCCTTACAAATTCTTATTTTGTACGTAAAATTGTACTAACACTGCCATTAGGAATATTGGTCTTCTTCTGATCTCTCATGTAAATGTCTGTTTTCAGCCTAAGCTCTGGCATGACTTTCCAGCTTGATAATATTAGTAACGACATCTTTCAGAAATGAAAACAACAGTTGTTTCAATCTTGGTCAATCATACGCATGGATTCTTCTCTGTGTTCTTGATATGCAGTGTTCTGCCATCTGTTAGAAAACTGACAAAGAGTTCCCGTATCTCGATTTAATTTTCCATTACCCCCACACCGCTTCTGTCTGTGATGACATCTATCAAAGACTTGTAGAACTACACTCACATTTATTGCAATTATTCATAATAGATGTCGAGAAGCTCCAGTGAACTGGGGAGGCAATGATATTCTGTCAAAATACCAGGAGGTACGATAGCAATGACTCGTCTCCGTGGTTTCACGAGATAAAAATGAACCGTCGTGATTTCGCGCCAAAAATCCGTATGAGAGCAGGTCATTCCAGTCTTAAAGCAAGCTTAAGTAAATTTAACGTTGTGGACACGACTGAATGCGAGTGTGGTGACCGGCTGCAAACGGACTAACGTATTTTCTGGAATTGTAAAGGGTACAAAGAAGGCCGCGCCATAGCTCAAGCGGTTAGTCGCTTGCATCCCACCGCGGTAGCCCCGGTTCGATCCCGGGTCTGGTTAAGTGGGATTTGTTGTGGACTAAGTGTCGCTGGGGCGGATTTTCTCCGAGTACCTCTGCTTCCCCTGCCAATCTTCATTCCATCAAATTCTCCATCATCATAATCACGCGGAGCAGGTACAATAGGCCAATCAGTGGCCGCCGTGCCAAATGGACCCAGCTGGACAACACTCCCCACTAGGCGAAGCGAAAAGCAGTATGAGGACCAACGGGCAATAAGGATGAGCATTTTGTTTGAGAACGGCAAAAAAGAATACCCAAAGTAAATTAGAGAGCTATTGGAATTCTTTTTTTTATTGCTAGTGGGGTAGGACTAAGTCCCTTGTACTGCGGCTACTTTTGACCTATTGTACCAGCCCCAGATGATAGGTGAGGGTGATTGTGGATCAATTGGTGGAATGAAGATTGGCAGGGGAAATCGAAGTACTCGGAGAAAACCTGCCCAAGCTCCACTTTGTCCACCACAAATCCCACCTGACCAGACCCGGGATCGAACCCGGGCCGCAGCGGTGGGAAGCCAGGGACTAACCGCTTGAGCTACGGCGCGGCCTGCTCTTGAAGTTAGAGAAAAAAAGGTTCGTACAAGACGTCTGTTACTTCATAAAAAAATTCCTGTATTTATTTAAGAAGAAAAAGAAGTTTGCAAGGAATATTAATAGTATATTCTTAGAGCTAAGTTAAGAGACGAATTTAAGCACTACGCCATGAAGGCGTATGGGGGAGTGGATGTATTAAGGAATATATTAAAATATCGTGGAGTGTCCTCTATGATAGAAGATGTTTATAACTCTGTGCTACAGTGGGCCGGAAGGGCATTGCCTATGCCATTTTTGTATATACATTTATTAAAGAATAGCAATCAGTGATTCGTAGAGCCTTCGTGTCAATAAACCATATGAGAGCAGGCCACTCCAATCTTAGACCAAGTTTAAGTAGATTTAACTTTGCGTACATGGCTAAACGCGAATATGGTGGTGGGCTGCAAACAGAGGAACATATCTTCTGGGAGTGTAAATTGTAAGAAGACCAAAGGGCAACAATGATGGATATTTTGTCAGAGAATAGAAACAAAAGAATGCCCAAAGAAAGATACAGAGCTCTTAAGGCTACTGAAAAAAATGTTGTGCAAGGTGTATGTTACTTCATACTAAAAATTCCAAAATTTATTAAGAATAAGAAAAAGAACTAAACGTACAAAAAATAATAATATACTCTTAGACTTAAGTTAAGAGATATATTCGGAAATTTTAGGGCGACCGCTATGATAGAATAAGATGTTTATATAACACTGTGCTACAGAAGACCGGATGGGTATTGCCTAGACCTTTTGTGTACATACACTTATTTTTCGAATAGATACACCCTACCAGAAATATGAAATAAAATCAATGACTTTGTTTTCTTGCTATCGATGTAAATCTTACGAATGGTTTGTTCTCCATTTTTTTGAGCCGTCCGTTACGAAGTATTTACTGGTTTCCATTTTTCTGTGGATTTTTGTAGTCCCTCGATATTTCTAATACTCGCAAACAAAATTGCACAGCAGCTGGAAACTGGAGAGTCAAAGATTATATTTAATGTTTTTGGTAATCAACATCGTCAATATAGCGTAATCTGTAGCTCTGCAATCCAATAGACTTTCGGGCTTCGATGAGCACCGGCTCTCGGAAATTATAATGGCGACATCTCCAAATCAGGACTGTGTACTACAGGCATTTCTTTCCTATTCCAGAAAATAGATGTCGCCTGACTACTTCGTAGGCGGAGCCAATAACAAAGCAGAAAGCAGCCACCAGCTATCAGCAGCGATCAGAAGGAATAATGAGGAATGTGGAACGTAGTGCTGAACGTGTTGAACGATGTTGACAAGTTGAATTTGATCGCAGTAATGCAAAATATAAGTAGACGTTATAACTAATGCCGATTTTGTCACCGCTATCGCCAACAGAGTATCTACCGGTATCTACTGTTGGAGATAGATGGATTGTATACAGAAATTTTTCCGTGTAATTATCGATATGATTTGCGATTGTGACAGAACGGTTAATTCTTCATTGAGTTTTACATAAGTGACATTGTGTGGTTTTTGTTTGCGGTGTTTATGTGCCATAATATAAAATTAACACGGAGGCTCACAATGATTACTTTCCAGTATTACATATAAATTTAGTGTACTGTTTTTCGGCCCAGCGTAAGAAATGTGGGTGAAACCTCAAGAAGTCCTGTTAGCAAATGCACTGTGGTAGGTATGAATCAGGCACTTGTGAGAATACTGTAAAAGTCAGTTGCGTGGACTAAATCTTTCCTTCTATCTTTACTACTTTCAGGGTGACTGAACAAGCGAATCATTACTTTGTACTTCAGAGGCGAAAAGGTCATGGAAAAACAAAGGGTTTATCATCCATTCTTGTTGGTACATTGGATAGTGTGTTTGACACAAAACCGCCCCCATTTCGAATCTTACACCAGACACCATCGTCGGAGGTTTACTATTGTGAGTTACGGTTATAATATGGTTCCTTTCTTAATGGCCGTCATTTCATTTACTTTATTCCACTATATAACCGTTGATGTTGATATGCTTGTACACAGCAGTACCATTTACCTGTTATTAAATGTCAGTCACAGTTAAAATGTTGTAAATAAAAAAGCGCCTTGGTCTTCCCTGTGGTCTCTTTCCTTCTGGCAAAGCCAGAAGGAAAGAGACCACAGGGAAGACCAAGGCATAGGTGGGTGGACAATATTAGAATGGATCTTAGAGAGATAGAATGTGAACATGGTAATGAACCTTTGGGTTCCATAAAATTCTGGGAAATTCTTGAGTAGTTGCAGAATTGGTGGCTCCTCCAGAAGGGCTCAGCTCCATGAGTAAGTAAGTAAGTAAGTAAGTAAGAGGGGAGATCATATCTGTCATTCCACATCCTTCTCACCGTACCTCTCTTGTGATGGCTGGCGCCCCTCTCACACCTCATATGCTTTTCTCTTATAGAATTACTAAGATTAGTAAGCAACAGGAATTAATTAAGTACCGGTAAAATTAAATGTGATAGGATGAACCAGGGAGCCAGAGAATATGATAATTTTGAGGGTATTTAAAATGGCCAAAAGCTCCAGAATCTGTGGACAGGTAGTAATTAATTTATTTGCCACTAGAAGATAGCATGAAGGCACAGAAAACCAACTGCTACATTTATTTACTCTTGGCAGTTACAGAGTGTGAAACTTTGAAATAAAAGGCGGACATTTCTGCTTATAAAATTTACTCAGTTTAAATATAAAATGATGTAAAGGTAAAGCTATTCCTGTCACAGGCCATGGAGGCCTATGGGATTGTGAGATGCCAGGGCTCCCACATTTTGTAGACAACCGAAGCACAGATGGCAGTGAGGTTTTCAGCCTTATGCACTCACCACCATTTACCCCCAGGAATATTTCTGGTACTCATTTCTGTTAGAGGCTGAGTTAACCCCAGGGCCATAGTGCGGCTGGAAGGATTAGGTAAATTGAAAAATCAAATGAACTCATTCGAATTCAACCCACTGTTTTTTGGCTAGTAGTATATTGCCTTAACCAGCTATGCATATATTTTATGATTTGGAACTTCAAAACTTCAACATAAAATTTGGTGACTTCACATGCAACATATGTCTGCACTGGCTCAAGTTGTGACACTAAATGAATTCCAATTTTGAAAGCTAGCATTTCAAAACACAGTGCTACAAATTTGTACGTGCTGTGTTTCAGAAATTTTTTAATTCGTTTAACTTACAGGTTAGATTCAAAATAGACAACTACGTGATAGTTGCCTTAATACAAACTTGGTTGGCTGACACTTGCCTTGATCTTGTTACATGTGGAAATCATAAGCTCGCAGGCATGTCATGTTTGAAAATTAATAGCTGCACAGACATGTCAAAGAGCCAATAGACTGGTGCCTTAAAATCTCAAAATTTTGTAGTGAAACATAGTATTGCCATATAAAGCAAAGTAATATAACATTATATGAGTCACAATCATGGCTTGATTAATACCTGAAAGTATGTAAAATATGTAAGTATAAACTGGTAGAAATAAGAAGACATTAATAAATGTCTAATAAGTACTTTAATCAAGTAATAACTCCATTAATTAATACAGTCCAAGAAAAAGGGAACATTCCATCTTGCAACAGAGTTTCCATGCCAGCAGTGCAGCATGAAGATAAACACAAATGTATGTATCTCATGTTGCATGGTGACATTACAAAACAAAAGGAAAGCAGAAAAAGACAAGAAATAAGTTCTTTTGTTGTGAGGAGAGATGCTGCATAGCATTTTGTTACTGATATTTGTTCAGAAGAAGGAGGAAGTCTTATATAACTTGTACGTATTATTTAGTCATTGATTAGCCATACAACCGAAGTCAGACGTCTCTTTGTTACTGAAAATACTGTTGTCCTTTTCATGTTTAGTGATTGCCTGTTCACTAACATTCACTGAGATTGAGAAAGACTGGGAATGGCTGCAAAGGAATTTGTCAGACACTCTGAATTCATTTGACAATGAGGAAGATATCACAGAATTTGTTTGCTGCAAAATCCAGTCAGTGATTGCTAATACTCTGCCTGATAACCAAGGAACTGAAGGTATGTCAAGGTGAATTATGTAAATTGCTTTCTTGGTATCAGTAATTCATTATTTGTATAACTTTACTACATAAGTTACCTTGTTGCAGCTTTACATATATGTACTCTACCAGCCTCTAAGGTATACTCTCTTTGTGTTATATTTCATATTAAAAACAGTGACACATTAACCTTTAAACGCCGGACTTCGAAATAGTGGTAAACTTGAGCTGGCCGGAGTTTATTTAAATGCCTGCTGCTGGTGCTCGTTTAAATGCCCGTTGCTCCCTTGCGTTTAAGTATCCGTTCCTGTTAGGCGGTTACTCAATTTTAAGCGTTGTGTTTAAAAATGCTGTATCTAGCACAATTTTTATGATAAATGGATGGTATTAACTTTGTTTATATCAGCAAAGAACATAGTGCCGCATATTATAACGGAAGATTTGAAATTTTTAATACAAAGTGTTATACTCTATTTTCAATTTTTTGTGTTTTAATTTTGATGCGTACTGCAAAAATTGTTTCCCAGTTCTTCACAGAGTTGTTCTGCATTATAAATTCATTTCTGTTTGTAACACTTGACAAATTTTAGCAGTCCCTGGTGTCATAAAACAGATGGAAGCAATAAAATCATTTGGTCTTCTGCTAGCACTGCTTACACCCTTCGGATTTTCGAATCTTTGACTGAAGGTCAGAAGAATGAAAGAATGGCTATTCAAGAGAAAGCTAGAGGGGTCCCTTCTTCAGTGGTAAAACCTTCCGTTAGAACTGCAAAAGCTTATTGCCCCTTCTATTTGAGTGAACAGACAGCTGCATCGTGGCTGAGATACAGAGCGCGATCTGTTTTGTGTGCGTTCGTAGTGAAATTGAATACGGTAGTTTTATTTGAAACTGTATATACATCAAGCAGGTAACAACAAAAAAGGTATGTACATCAAATTTTACAATATATTTTTAACATACCTATCTGCAGAATCTGCAATAAAATTACTGGATCGTGGATAAGTTTTGGCATAACTCATACGTATATTTTTATTTGCTGTTGTTCAGTTGGGTATTATTTTAATTCCTCTATTAGGGTTTTACTCAAGTCTGTCTGGTAATTACTACATCTGAAAATAAATATTTAAGACTGTGCATGCGCTTCTACTAGCGGCGTGTGCGCGCGCTTCCACTAGCGGAGTTTAAATGCCTGACTGGACAAAACGGGGTACTTTGGCCACGACGACTTTACTCACCACTGTCACAAACTGGGCACTTCGGCACTTAAAGGTTAACCTCTCTGTTTAAGTTTTCTTACAATTTTGTTTGTAAACAAAGAATTTATGTTATCCAAATTTATCTGCAGTAACCTCAATACTGAAAGTGAGGATCATTTTGACTGAAAATGCTATTTGTCTCTCTTTTTAAGCTGTAGAAAGTTCTATAGAGAAATTAAAATAGAAAGGTCCTTGGCTATAAGTGCAAGAGGAAGGAGAGTGTGAGTGAGAGGAGCTGTTTTTGAGAAGTGCAGAATTGTCATATAGGAATAATGTTAATAAGTGCCTTGCTACATAACTACCCATCCAGAAAACATCAAAGAGTGTTTTTGTGTGTCTGATTCATATTTATTTCTTAACTTATTTAACCGTATTTTTAATTGGCCACATCAGATGAGAGGATAATATAAATAATAAATAGTGAAGGATGTTTGTATTCTATTCTGAAGTACTTTGTGGACGTTTTCAGTAAGGAATTGAGGAGGACAGCATCGTATATATTTGCGTGACATGGAAGTTGACAGATATAATCTTGATGTTTTACACTGTTTCTCAAATCAGAGAAAGAAACACAGAATTCATACATCTGCGATGTTTACAACTCATTAAATTATCATTATTCTAATGTAATCAGCCTCCACAATCACATTAAATTTTTTGTGGTTGACAACACTTTCAGTATTGCACACTATGTAGTGAAGAATGGTAGGATGATAGATGCGTAATAAACGGAAAGGATTTGGAAGGAAGAGGTCTTGACCTAACTGAGGTATTATCTTGGTATATCCCTATAGAGACTGAGGAAACTCACAGAAACTTCAGCTGAGATGCAAATCAGTGCACCCCTGAATACAGATTTAGGTGTTACTGCTAGGCCAACCTGTTCAGTCAGAAAGTAACACATAACCTGCAGAGACAAATGAACAAAGATAAAATTTACATTACTGTATTCGTAATTAATAATACATATCTTTCCATTTAATTTAGATGAAGACACACAGTCATTTAAGACAGTGTCATTCAAATTCCATCGCTTGTTCAACACACCACCAGAAGAAAAGCTCGTCAACTATTACTCTTGCAGGTATGTATCTGTTGACTAGTCAGCAGTTGGCATTCCTAATTTGTATTTGGGAAACCCTGTCTTCAAATCTTGACCTAGAAGCTATCTAAGTACCTTGTTAATGAACTAAGTAACTTACTCCATGGAGCAGAGTCCCTGATGAGACATTAATAGTTGCTTAGCTCCCCACCTTTTGTGGAACTTGCAGGCTCACTGGCATGTATGTAGGTCATACCGAAAGTCATGAGCAACTTTCTTTTGCATGAAACTTGGGAACAGCAGATGAAAGAGAGTACAGTGGTAGGTGGAACCAGCTATTGTGTTAACCTTGAGTGTCTTGTGACGTCAGTAGCTTGACAACAATGGCCGACAATGATAAAGTCGTTTCGCCAGCGTGCTGTCATCGAATTTCTTGTGAAAGAGGAAATCCCTGCTGCAGAAATTCACCAGAGACTTCAGCATGCTTATGGAAGTGTGTGCATGGGTGCGAGCAGTGTTTGAAGATGGGTGAAACATTTTAAAGATGGGAACACCAGCATCGAAGATGAGCCTCCGAGCGGTCGTCCTCGAACAGCCTCAACTGAACGCAACAAGGAAAGAGTGGATGAGATCATTCAAGATGACAGGCGTGCGACTGTGGACACAATAGCCCGAAAACGTGGAATAGGGCACAGTGCAGTACAGGAGATGATTGAAAGCTTGGGCTATAGGAAAGTTTGTGCTCGTTGGGTCCCACTGTTATTGACCGAAGACCACAAAGGTCAGTGAAAAGACATCACCTCAGAACTGCTGCAGAGATATCAACACAAAGGCGATGATTTTTTGCTCTGTATTGTGACAGGTGACGAAAGCTTGTTTCACCATTTCGAGCCTGAAACGAAACAGCAGAATATGGAATGGCACCATTTGCATTCTCCATCAAAAAAGAAGGTAAAGACAGTGCCATCAGCTGCGAAGGTGATGGGCGCAGTCTTCTGGGATGCAGGGGGGTTTATTCTGGCCGAATTCCTGGAACCTGGGCTAACCATCAATGCTGCTCGTTATGTCCAGATGCTGCACAAGCTCCGTCATGCATTGCACGATAAATGTCCGGGATGAAACAACATCATCCTGCATGACAACGCTTGTCCCCACGCTGCTCGGCTCACATTGGAAGCAATTGCAAAGATGGGGTGGGAAGTTCTTCCACACCCCTCCTATAGCCCTGATCTGGCACCCTCCCACTACCATCTTTTCGTATTTGTGAAGGATCAGCTGTGTGGACAACGTTTTGAGACAAGGGAGGCAATTCAGAAAGCAGTGCGTCAGTGTCTTCAGATGGCTGGAACAGAATTTTACAGAAGGAGAATTTTCAAACTCCCAGAACGCTGGGAGAAATGTGTACAAAGAAGTGGTGATTATGTGGAAAAATAGAGAAAGATCTGTAGATTGAGGTGGTGTATTTGGTTTGTCAATAATGAAGTATGTTACTTTACAAAAAATTGTTGCTCATGACTTTCAGTATTACCCTCATACATAACATCCTTCCACCTGTTGGCATCCTGAGCCAGATGAATCTAGTCCACATGCTCCTACTCTATTTCTGTAAGATTCATTTTAATGTTATCTCCATCTATGCTTAAGTCATCCAAATTGTCTTTTTTTTATCAAGTTTTCTTGACAAATGCATGCATTTTTCATCTCCCAAATGTGCTGTATGCCCCATGTCTCATCCTGTCTGCTGTCTAAGAATGTAAATGTTGCTCCCACCGCAGGAGTTTGCACCATTTCTTTGTTTGTTTTAATGATGACACAAAATTGCACAAAGGTGAAGTGACCTCTTGTGGCATGATATACAAATTTCCAGCATTTGTTCATAGTTGTTAAGGATACAGGCACATGAATAATTATCTGAGAATCTGTGGGTCCTTGATTCAGGAATAATTTCACCTTTATCATATGTAATGCTGGACAAAACCACTCTCTTTCTTCTTCAGGTTATGGATAAACCCAACCATTGCTTCCAATGGGAACATACTTCCTGGTTTTAATTTGTTGCTTGTGTTATTGAACTTCAGTCTTTTTCTCCAGCTACTGGAAAGGCCGGATGCCGCGTCAAGGCTGGCTTTACTTGTCAGTGAACCACTTGTGTTTCTATGCTTACATCCTTGGCCGTGAAACAAAGTTGGTGATAAGCTGGACAGAGATAACTGAACTGGATAAGACAAACAGCCTTTTGTTCCCAGATTCCATTCGTGTTGCAACAAGAGAGAGAGAGGTTTGTATTGAATGTTGCATGTGTACCTTATACTTCTCTGTTTGTAAGTGAATTTATTATTTAATTATTGAAGTTGTCCTGAATCAAAATCCTGTTTAGTTCAAGTCATTGCTTTCTTAGAGGAAATAGCGAATGTTAATGATTTTAACTTTTTCTTGTAGTGGCTTTGAATAGTTCATTATTTTAAGGGATCTAAACATATTGTCATATGTTGGGTATATAACGCGACAAATAACTTCATGCCTTATTGGATATAGTGAATTTTATTTCACACTCGCTCATACAATTACACAGTTTACAATCTCACAGCTACCGCTATCCACAGTATTACAATTACTAAACTGCATACTCTTCCCTGGCCAGCTCGTAACTAACTTGAATAGTCTTCGCTGCTCCTTATTTAGCCCCGTTATGGACAACACAGAAAACAGCTACATAATAGGCACCACTGTTGTCTGACGCCGTGTTTGCCGACAGCCTAGCAACGCTGTCGGGAGTTGTTTACTGGTGAGTAGCAATGGCAGCATCCCGTGTTACGTCACCGCTGGCGGGGGAAGGGGTGTCCTGCATAACGCAACACGTCACAGTATTTTCGTTTTCATTTGTTAAACAACTTATATTGTCTGAACTTGATTTTGGCTCTTTAAGAAGGTTTCTAAGGAACTGAAATTTGGATATTTTTTCCTTTGCATCTATGAGTTGTTCAGGACAAGTCTGCAACTAACAAATTACAGCCATAATTTAATTACACCTAAATTGATCAACAGTAGTTGCCGCCGTACTTAAGTCTTTTAAGGTGAGGAATCCATTCAGAAGGATTTTGAAGGCTGTGGTATAAACTAGAGGAGTATTTAAAACATCCTCAGTGGGCATTTCAAATTTACTTCAGTCTTAAATGGTCCTCTAAAATCAGAGGCTCAGAAATGAAATGAATGAATATTGTGAAAATTTTGAATACTCTGTATCTGGGTAGGAGCTAGTGGTATGCATTTGTTGTTTTCATAATGTCAGAGACTGAATGGGCTAATAATGGCGGATCATTATTGACTGGCATAAAGTTTAATTGTGTAAATTGTTTATCCAAGTAAAACAACTGAAGGTTTGTCCCTATTTGTCCTTATATTTGATAAATTTACTGGCAATATTTTGACACACATGTTTCTCTTTCAGCACTATTTCTCCATGTTTCTCCACAAATCTGAGACATTTATGCTTATGGAACAGTTAACAAATTTGGCAATGAAACAGTAAGTAAATTATTATTCCACAGTGATACACAATTGTCGAGTTGTAGCAGCCATGTTTTAATACATAGTGTATGCATTATTTAGTAAACTGAAGAATCAACTCATAATTCATTCATAACTGTCACAAAAACTGTGGAGTACTTCAACCAGTTGTGATGTATAGTACTGGAAATTATCTAAATGCATCTCCTCCTCCTCCTTTTTTCCTTTTCCTTTTTTCTTCTTTTTATTTTGTGGAATGTAAAACAGTACTGTGGCAGCTGTGTTTAATTGTAGTAATTAGTGAATCGTAGATGGTGCACATGTGAAATTTCACATGGAGTTGGCCATAAGCCTGTGTACAATTTATTTATGAAACAGATTTTGTTATACATATGAGAGAATGTATTTTTCATTTCAAGACAAGAACAGTATGAGAATTTGGAAATATTTTGGGAATTAAACAAGAATAAGAATTTTCTCTGGATAAATTTTTATATTGTAACTGTATTTTATAACACTAGCCACTTTTTCACAGTGCGCTGAGTGTATTTCATATTTCTTTGACTTCAGGTCCTTTCTTGTAAAGAATTGTATTAAAAAGATCCAGTTTTAAAGTGTTGTTGTTGTTAGTGGTAGTAGTAGTAGTAGTAGTAGTAACAGCAGCATGAGCAGTAGAAGTAGCAGCAGAGCAAAGCAGTTGTCTGAAAATTCTCAGTCTGAGAATGGAAAATCAATTTTTTTTCTTATTTCAATCTAAGAATCTGACACTCATACAAGCCCAATGTTTATATGTTTCAGGATGCAGTTATGGTGGTAATATGAAACTTTGAGATTTTGTCTGCAAATGTTTGAGTCCAAACTTTCATACAAATTTTGTTTGCCATTTCAGACTTATTGATGAAAAGGGTGGCTTCAATGAAGACAGAGATTTGCTCAACAAGCTTAGGTAAAAAATACTTTTTATTGTTGTGTACAGTATCTTTACAGTAGATCTCTTAATTTGTTTAATTTGTTTTATATCTGTATTTTTATTGCAGTAAAAATGTACCCAGGAAACCTTCCTTCCTTAAGCGTGATCTTGATGCTCGAGCACACTCAGAGGCCTACCGTTTATTGTTTCGCCTACCAGCTGCAGAGAAACTAGATGGCAGTACAGATGCAACACTCTGGACACCTTACAATAAACGCCATGTCTGGGGTCGGATGTTTTTGTCACAGAACTACCTCTGCTTTGAAAGCAGGGTAAATGTCATTTTCCATAATAATTTCAGTTTTGTTGGTACAGTAGGCTCCTGGTTGTGTGGTATCCAAGCATCCAGAATTTATGTCCAGCCAGCAGAAGTTTCAAAAGAAAATTCACCACTTTTATGAAGTTATTCTAAAAGAAAACTGTTATGCGGATATATTCCCCAACCTAATGGTTCTCCCAGCTCCCAGTAGCAGTGGAACCCACCCTAGCTTCATGTAAGAGCCAATAAAATGGAGACTAGTTAAATCTATGATTGGGTTAAGGTATATATACAAGATCTTTCACCCATCAATCCATTTTGTTGTCTGGGAAGACTCACATGCCAGAACTAAAGCAAGCACATATTATTTTGACTTTCCCCATGCAGTTGTCAAACCAGATTTTCTTATGTGCCAGGTAATGGGGAGTTTGACTTGGTTCATCCTTGTCTGTCACACTAGTAATAGTATAAAAGATTATTAACGCTGTCCAGTCCTTCTGAAGATGATTGCTCTGACCGAAACACATAATGGATCAAAGATTAGAAAAAGAAAAAAACATTTATCAATCACATGTTTTTCTGAAGATGGTCGCTCTGACCGAAACATGCAAAGGATGAAAAATTAAAAAAAAAAAATCATAAATCACGCTGGACAGTGTTCATAATCTTTTATCCTAATGGACAGTTTGCTTTAACATAGCATGACAGTAAACCTGTTGTTGGGTGATGGGATGTGGAATGAGTTACCACAAAGACAGACTTGATAAACAGTCAGTTGCTAAGTTACGCAGCAGTGGATTATGAGATGTGTGAATCAGTGATATCACTGTATTTGAGTGTAATTAAGAGAGAGTATGTAACTAAGTGGACTGTTTATCAAGTCTGTCTTCATGATAACTCGCTCCACATCCTACCGCCCAACAACGGGTTGACTTGTCACAATATTAGTAACTCATCATAAATTCTGAAGTAGTCTGTGTTGCATAAGGCCTGTGATCAAAAAATTTCTGGGCTGGCTACAAGGTTACAGTAGGGTAGTGTTCCTGTGTTAGATGATGGTAGATATTTGCTGTTAATTTCAAACCACAGAATGTGTCATTAAAGAGAGATGTGGTCTGAAGTATGTGTTTCAAGTTCTGTTTCTAACTGGGCAGCAGTTACTTGGAAACTCATGAGATGTCAAAACCTACCTGTATTCTTGGAAATGGAGCAGTGAGTGTAACTCAAACGTTTGAGTAGTTATCTATGTCCAAAAGTGAAATGACTTCTGTTGAAAACTCTGAATATTTAGGGCATTGTTTCTTGACATTGATGGATTTGTGCATGAGGAATTCACCATGCTGGAAGAAGTCGACATTTCTGCACAAATTTTCCATGACATCTACAGAAACGTGGTGAATATGGCCTGAGAAATGGCGCATTAGAGATTAGTTTTCCTGTTATGACAGTGTCATCCTGGCTGTGCTTTGTCTGCACAGGAATTTCTGGCCGAAAAATTAAAGACTTGTGTGTGTGTGTGTGTGTGTGTGTGTGCGCGCGCGCGCACGCACGTCTCAGTGTGCAGTTGCCCATGTATGTCCTTCCTCATACGTTTTCTGATTCCAAAACTCAAGTTAATACTCAAGAGGATATTTTATGGGTTTGTTGCAATCTGAGAAAAAAATGCAGACTCACTTGTTGGAGTTCAAAACAAGGACTTTCACATATGCTTTCAATAGTGTCAGAACTGTTGGATTAGGTTGCAAACCAACCAAAACTACTTTGAAGTGGACAAAGTGGAATATTCACTAAGAGTGTTGAGTATAAAGAAAAGCTCAGTCCAGAAAATTTTTCATCCAACTAATGTGTGCAGTTTTGTGTTCAGATCCATTTCCTTCCAGGTACACCTTAAATAAAGATTTATGTAGTGCATTTCTGAGTAATACTAGTAGGCAAACATGCAGTCATATTTTGTGTAAATTTATAAGAAAATATATGTGTAGCTTTCTGAATATTTTTAAGGGAAATTTAGGTTTAATTTCTTTGCTTGCACATGGGCATGCCTCCTAATATGTATACTCTCTGTTTATAGGTGAAAAATTTAGTAAGTGTAGTAATTCCCCTGCGTGATGTACGACTGGTTGAGAAAGCAGAGAATCAAGCATCAAATTCAGCTGTTGATAAATCTGTGCTTATAACAACATGTAATCGAACAAGTTTTCTATTTGCTCAAATACAAGACCGTGATTTTCTGGTACAGAAGATATCAGAATTATTGGCTGGGACAAGAGTTCCTTCTCTGTAAGTGATGACATTTTCTGCATTATAAATTGATTCATTTATAAAATAGTTTTGACACAAATGGTGTATGAATACTATAAATGGGAAAGAATGACTTTGAGTTCAAGATGAGTATCTGGAATAGTTCTGAGATAAGAATAAGGCCCTCTTTTACCCAAAAATTTAAAACATTAACCATTTTTCCTCAGTGCACTAGAATATACTACTATATTTAGTCAAATGGAAGATAATTCTGAATGTAAGATGATGCTGCACAAGGAAACATCTGCATGGAAGAAATAATTTTATGGAATAATTTCTTGTTCTTACTACAAACACTAATGGAGACAAGGACTAGCTGTGTTGATTTGGCTCATCTAAGTAGGTTTTTACCCGAGTATGGAGCCAGAGTCCACTCTCCAAAACACTGTTTTGAATACAAATAGGATGATGGATAATGTATGAAGAGTTGATAATTGCATGAGTATGAGGGGTGAGCCATAAAAATGGCCCTAGCAATGCGACCTTCAATGATCTATTGTGCTTCCCCTTTGGATTAACTCTTTATTAATACTACACTTTGAATGAAATGTAGGACTTTGTTTACGGGGGCGTCATAAAAGTCACTTGGTTCCATGAACAACTGACCCAGGTGGCAATATCTTAATTAAGCTATAGCCTGACAGTCACACAGGATGTGTGTGACTGATTCATCTTCTTGTAGGCACCTGTCACAAGTTGGTTCCTCTGTCAGTCCCAGTTTGGAAAGGTGTCCCTTCAGGTGGCAGTGCCCAGTAAGTAATCCTACCACCCATCTTAATTGATCTCTATTCAATTTTAACGGGTCCCTCGTTCTTTTGGCAGAAGGTCCGGATATAAATCCTTTTGCCTGTTTGAGTCCAATTGTGGATTCCCAGTGCTTTTTTGTGATTTCTGTTAGTTCAGTCCCTGATCACTTTCTTGGCAACTCCAATTGAGATACCGCAAGCTGGTTCAGGTCCTGTTCTTGCCAGTTGATCTGCAGTTTCATTCCCTACAATACCCTCATGACCCGGCACCCATATCAGTTGTACTCTGTTATGTCTTATATGAGGGATTGGTGGCAGTCCCAAACCAATTTTGAAGTGAGGAGAAAAGGAGAAAAATGTTTTATGTCATTTGATTTTTCTTGTGGGTAATTAAAAGAATGATGCATTTCCCATTGAATGTGGTAACCATGTTCCTTCCTGTGGAATCTGATGTGCAGAATCCTTCAAGCCAAATTAACATGTCCATTCTTTTCTGTGTGTTAAGACACTCTGTCACAGGAGGCAGTTGTGACAACACAAGCAATCACAGCAGCTCCAGTGGAATCAGTAGCTTCAGTCAGTGTGAAGAAGTTAAGTCAGGTATTATTATCATGATGTCTGTCTGTGTCACCATAATACTGTACAGTTCTCAGTGGTTAAAATGTAGAAGGCATAAGCTGCTCTCAAATTCTGGAATGTGAATGCTTCCCTAGGCTGGGGTAAGGCAGAGAGAACAGGTTAATGGGACCTTTACTTGCTGCTAGGCATAAGTAACTTCAGAAACAAAACTATAAGTATAACTTATGCAAAGAGTTATAGGAAACAGCTAATTAGGAATCCCTCACAATGATAGGCATGTCAGAAAAAGAACCCACTCCGTTTATGTCATGGTTTTCTGTATGTCCAACATTAAGAAATTGACAATTCCGATGACATTTACAGCTATAATGAAGTCCATATTATAAGCTATACTCGTTCTATTACAGTTTCACTGTTATTGTAACAGTGAATTATCTGATTATTATGAATTATAATTGACAGTTGTTTAAAGTCACCAGCAGAGAATTGCACGTAATCACCGGTTGTTATTCATAGTTTCCAGTTAATAACTAATGCCATAACATAGCTTCCACGTTTATGTGAATCCACTTTCAAATTTTATTGTGAGGCATAGAGAAGTAATTTCCCTTTCTTATCTTTTATAGTATATAAATACATTCTGCATGCTTTTTTTAACATATCAGAATTATGAGGTTTTGGATTTATGCATGGTTCGTTTCAACATAGTTGATTCTAAATGGAACTTACGACAAAATGTATGCCGAAATACTGTATCAGATGTTTTTTACATAACTGTCTTGCCGTGTTAGTGTGGTAATTTGGCCTTCTGCTACACAAGAAGTCCATTAAATGTAAATTTCTGAGACTGTATTCAGTAGAATTCCTGCTTACCTGGTAAATCATGTATTTTTGTTCAGACAGAAAGTCACAGAATTCATGTTCATTTTGTGGAATATGTTACTTCTTAGAGCCATCTTGGTCACCGCAACCTCCGCTGATGACACTCTTCAAGCTGGATTTCTCCTCAGAAGCAATTTCCAAACAAGAGGCGAAAGAGAAGCTTTGGGAACTACATTTTGCAGAGTATGGGCGTGGTGTCTCCATGTACCGAACAACTGAAGTATCAAAGCTTGTTCTCCAGGGTGTGCCTGACCGATTACGAAGAGAAGTGTGGATGTCGTTCTCAGGTATGGACTTCATTGTGTTTTAGAAAATCCCTCAGCATAAAATATTCTCTGAGGCAGTACTTGGAAATTTTCCATTTATCAGCAAGGCCAAGTTATATGTATCCCCCACCACCACCACCACCCAATTAAGCCATACAAGGTGTCCATAAACCACCAGGCTGCACAATAAACTGAAGAGTAACAAGTTTATCCACTAGTGAGTACAGATTTTAAGTCTGTCGTTACTAGGGTTTGATGGCCATATTTTAAATCTGAGGATTATGGCAACTGTGTGCCAGCTGGACTGCTCACATGCTTCATTACACTGTTGCATTGCATGGCCAGTAAATGTTTACCTTTACTGACTGTGTACAAATGAGAACAGTTATTGTCTGAGCTCTGTCTTTAGGAGCTATAAATGAAATGGCAGCAAATGCTGGTTTGTACCGCACGCTGGTGGATCAAGCCCTTGGTAAGCCCTCAACAGCCAATGATGAGATAGAAAGGGATCTGCACCGCTCACTTCCAGAACATCCAGCCTTCCAGTGTGATATTGGAATCAGTGCACTGCGAAGGATACTGTCAGCTTATGCTTGGAGGAATCCTCAAATAGGTAATAAAGATTTCTTTTTAGTGAAAGAAGGTTGGTAGACATGCACTGAAGAAGTCAGTACTATATTAGGAAGTTTAAAAAATAATCATTGTTGCTCACACTGCTGTGTTCAGATCATTCTGATCCACAACAATGAGTATTTCAGTTATCACTTCTGAAGGCTTTGTACAAATGACAAAGTTTCATGAGCTGTGTTGCGACATTGCTTCGTGTCATACAGGACAGTCACAGTGCTCAACTTTGTTACTGTCACCATAGTTACATGTTACTGGATGGTATATCTGCCTGAATTTTAATTCAGGTGTTGAAGTTGCACTCTTAACTTACTTGAAGCAGACACTTGGATTTTGGTGGTTGATGAACTAAATGGAGTGTGAGCATGTGGGGGTTGTTCATTAATCCATACACAAAGGGTTGCTTAAATGAAATGAACTCTTTTTTTTTTTTGTGTTCTGAACATATTACTGTATTAAAATATTGTGTATGTGTGTGTGCATGTGCACGTGTCATTTTATGCATTTGCCCTTGTGCAGGGAATTCCTTTGATGAGGAAGGTTACTGTACGTTGCTTTCACCAGCAGACCCAAATGTAGATTGCTCATTTAACAACTTACATGTCTAGCCTGTCAGTTCAGTTACTGACAGCAAAGTGAATTCACTTTTCTTGTTAGTAGAATTACCTATGTGTTGTGCAAAGTGAAGAATGTGTTAATGTCAATTCCACACTTATATAAAATAACAGTTCAAATTTTGTTTCATCTGTAATATTTTAGTATAACTTGTGTTGACAGCAATATAAAATTCAATTCATTGTACTTTGCCAGGCTACTGTCAAGCCATGAATATTGTGGCTTCAGTATTGTTGATCTACTGCTCAGAAGAAGAAGCTTTTTGGCAGTTGGCAAACCTGTGTGAGAGTTTGCTTCCTGACTATTATAACACAAGAGTCGTGGGGGCATTAGTTGATCAAGGAGTGTTAGATGATCTCACTTCAGAACATCTTCCTAATCTCCATGCTCGCCTTGATGAACTTGGAATGATTCGAATGATTTCCCTGTCATGGTTTCTCACGATTTTCCTCAGGTATATTCATTTTTAACAGTATTTGTTAACATATGTCACAAATATGTATTAACTATACATTTGTGGGCTTTCTTTTTTTTTTCCTATATTGCAAAACTCATATTTACCAAATACTTTTCCTGTTACAAAGCAGCTCACTCAATATTTGAACTTGAGGTACTGAAAGTGTAGCCATTTTGATAGACTTAACCTGTTGCATGTAAACATGTAACATGCTTTGACATTGTGAATATGAAAATGGTTGGACTGTCACTACATCTTGCTTCTTCCTGAATGCTGATGGCATGATGTCTTCATTAAATCTTTTTCGCCACCATTTGAAGAACTAAATTATTCAGTGTATGTACACTTGTTAACCCTGGGTGTGAGCCTTTAAATAGTTTGCTATTATTCATGGTGTGGCCTTCTAAATCTATACTATGGCTCTTGCAGACTAAAATTTTCTTGTAAATAAAAGGCAGAAACACAAACTATATACTGACCATAAAGCATTGCCCCAAGGTAAGTAAATGATGCAGAAGTCTACCTCCATGCCATCTGTGAATGACAAGGGACAAATTCCAAGGATAATTGGAAACATACTGGCAAAAAATGTTATTGCTGAGTATGGTCAGATTTTCCTGTCATGAGTTTCACCCAGCATTCTCAAACAATGTATTAAATATCCTCCAGAGTTGAAATTTGTTAATGCCTAAGTCACAGAGTTATTCTTAGTTTCTTCAGTCAAATGTTTGGATAGTGCCTTCAATTTTTCCACATACAATTCATGATCGTCTTTCCTTCTCAGTTGACACTGTATAAAATCTGTGCTTAAAATGATGTTCTTATATAACTTAATAATCAATCAGATTTGAAATCTTTGTATTGTAATTAATGGCCTTATGGAAAGGACTTAAAATAGAGTAATGCATCGGTTTATTTTTTAGGGTGGTACGTGAATATGATATGACTAATTCACCAAAAAGTAAATTGTACATAAAGTAATCATATTTTGCTCATGCTCTGTAAACTACCAGGAATGAGCATGTAGACTCCATTTTTTATTCAAACTTTCATAAATCAAACTGTGTAATTTGAATTAGAATTGTGCACACATCTTTTTATATATTCTATAGTTTGTATTATTACAGTGGGATTTTTTTTGCAAGCACACACTGAGACAAAAGAGTCATATTCTCCTTCCATCAAGTCAACCTGTAAGGCATAATTTTACATTGTGGAGGTGCTTTCCAGGAAATTCACTGCAGTACTGTATACTTCCAAGTCATCATTAATCCCTTTTGCAAATGATTTATTCCAGTACTATTGTTTTTCTGCTTCATGTAGAAGAATTTTCATTTCACATTTTGTTTGGTTTTCAGTGTTATGCCATATGAGAGTGCTGTAAATATCATTGATTGCTTCTTCTATGATGGTGCCAGAGTTATATTTCAAGTAAGTAACAAGTCCCAAAAGAAGCATAATTGTTAATTATTTGTTACATACATGAAAACAGTTTCATATGTTAAAAACCACATATTTTTGCATTTGTGTCAGCAAAGATGAATTTGTTCCTCCCATATCATGTACTGGAATTGCATTGGAGGTATGGATCAAGTACATCCGGTTTCNACTTGAGACGGAGGTTATATCATTTATCGTATGGAGTGCAACAGGATGCTTAAATATAATATTGTAAACATTACAATATTTTATATTCATGACATTGTAATAGTAGTTTCAGCTTGTATTGATAGGCCCTTCTGAAGATGGTCTCTCAGACCGAAAAGTGTCAAGGATGAAAGATAAAAAAGGAAGAAAAAAACATCAGTCACACTGGATTGAGTCGATAACCTTTTATAATATTCCATACTTGTCTTAGAAAGCTCTGAGTTTATGAAATATGACATGAAGCCATGTTTCTTTCCATACATTTGTTAGTTCAGTGCTGTAAGTTGTGGTTTACTATAACTTCTCCTGTTAATCATAAATTCATTGTTTGTATCTCTTTTATTGCTTTACACATGATGTAAATTTCCTTGACAGCACATGTCTTAAATATTAGAAAAAGCGATACCAATGGTAAGGAATCTTATGTAAAATAAATCACTTTCTGATAAGAATGCTGCATGCACTAAATAACAGTATTCTCATTGTTAAAATAATATTAGATCTCCATGCAGAGCTACTGACACTTGAGCTTGAAAAAGTTGAGAGCCTCTTATGGTATGGAGTCCATAGTAAGCTGTAGGTTCTGTGTAATGGCCATCATTCTCAAAATCAGCCTTTCATTTGTGATAGTGGACCCACCCTATGGGATTTTGGCTCAGAAATGAAGCCCATGATTGTATCAGGTAGTTAAATAAGACTGTACCTGGAGGCATTTACACAACTACTAGACTGGTAGATATTATTTATTGTATTCTTTGTCAACATAACACTGTTTCCAGCAGATGGGAATTTGTCTAAGATGGCATGTTTTAGCATGTGTCTGTGCCATCTTCAGGTCCTGTAGTTACAGCTGATGCATCATACACTCAGCATAAATTTGTGTGTAAGCTTAGTCTTTATCAGAAAACACTAGAATTTGGCAAGCTTCCTGAAGAAAAACTGTGTCCCAATTTAACCTATAGACTGTGAATTGTAAAATAAATTGCATTGAAATCATTTGCAGTGAAGTGTTATTTATATGGGCACCTTCCATGAGTGAAATATTTATCCCTTGTTATGAATGTGTTACAACATTATAAAATTGCCTCTAGTAAACAAAAATTGTTTTAATACAGAAATGAAAATATAGAAATGAGAAGTAAACAAAAATAATCAGATTGAATTGTTATATTCCCGGTACAAATGGCTAAGAAGTAAGCATGATCATGAACAGGTATGTGTGGAATATTATAATCATCTGTGGGTGAAAGAAAGAAAGAAATAAAACTGAAAATATTGCTTTATAACGGTGTATTATTTTATTTCATAAATATACACTGCACATTATTTCTTTTATCTATAATTAAGAATCTGAAATGGAATGGTGTGTAGATCCCTTAGGATTCTGTTGTGAGCAGGTGTTTCTATACTTAAAACTTAACTGTGGGCTAAATAACTAATCCTGAAATTCAGTATCTGGGCTGGCTGCTGTTGCATTTTGCAGGCGGCATTCACTTGCTTCCTCTTGATTCTTTCCATGACAACCACTTTATTTTCTATATCCTTTTTTTTTTTCTTTTTCACTTTTGAGGATTATTTAGCTTATGAAAATACAGCCAACTCTCGATTATCCGGGATAATGGTGCGGATAGAAATCATGATTAATCGAAAACCCGGTTAAGACAAATTTTATTAAAATTAGTACTGTAATACTGTACCTTCATAATACTATAGGCCTGCCTGCATTTAAATTTATTCAACCTCATTTTTATGTCATCTCATGGCCTATTTAATACTTTTTTTACATTACACTGAAGTATGAATTAGTTATTTCAATCACAGTCTTCAACAACATCCAACACTTTTTACGAACATTCACACTTAACACTTAAAAAAATTTAATATTGTCGTTTACTTTTTTGCGGCATTTTCCTTTTTCTGTTGAATACTTAACACAACACGCTTCCTTTTACACCCTGACATTTTGCTAATGCACTTGAAGATCGATACAAAGATACTAACTGGGGCGATGTATCTGTCCTTGAAACTTTCCACAAATCCTTGCATTCTTTCACCCCTACCCTAGAACATTGTGTTAGCATAACGGGACCAAAGAATGCAGAGCTCGGTTCACACTAGTGCGAAAATAGTGTTACAACTCGCCATGTGAAACAAAAGTGAATGAATATTAAACAACATATAAGCCTAAAAAAAGCCACAGTAGCCCCGGTTAATCCGCCCCCGGATAATCAAGAGTTGACTGTACTACCAAATCTTAAATGAAGCAGCGGAAATGGTATCCTTCACCAAACTTTGTGCCTTTGTGTGTCTGGTTTATGGACTGTGACAATGAAAATGTAACAGTAACAGTGGGCTATTATATAATGACATGCAACAATATGATCTAATTTCTTTGTAACTTCTTTCAGGTGGCACTGACTGTGCTGGAATCGAACCAGGATAAACTTCTAGCATGTCGAGATGATGGAGAAGCCATGCAACTCCTGGGTGATTATTTGCAAGGAGTGTTTAATGAAGAGGGCCAACTGACAATCCGAAATAAAGATGGCGAACACATAAAGAAGGTTTCACTGTTCCATTTTTGTTTATGATTGTCAGCTAACTACTTAATGAAGCATACTTTCCATAGTGCCTCACACAATGTACCATTCAAATTTTTTGTCTTTATGATATCCCATTTTTTGACAGACACAATATATCTATACTAGAAGTTCATGTATTTCTTCGTTACTTTGAAGAATTATCCTTCGGTGTGAACTTGTAACTTCTCATTATGTAATGTACAGTGGAACTAAGCAGGTAGGTATAAGGGCAGCTCTAAAAGTTGTATTCAGCAGGACCCCAGTTTTGATTTTGGGATTACTGGGTATCCTGACTGGGAATTATTACTATATTTACTTGCGTAATTTATGTAACCCTATTGTTACACAAGAAACAAGGAAAACATTAAATGCTGTGTTTTTACTTGTAGAATTTCAGCCAACACATAATTTTTATGAAAAAAGAGATTGAAGTCAAATTGATTGTGCAGCACACAATACCTTAGCGTTTTCAATAAAAACATGAAATATGAAAGTTAAGTGAAATCACCTGTACAGTGTTACTACAACATGGGCTCTTTCCTATGTCTGTAACATCTTGACTCATAATGTCCATGCGCCCAGAAACATTTAATCTAAAAAGTTTCAGAATTCACATTTGGGTACTTTGAAGCTAGTTTTAAGAGTTCCTCCCTTCCTTCTATTATTTTACAGAGCATTTCAGTACAGTCTTTGGTGTATGATTCATACACTCATCATGGCTTCCTAACTCCTGGCATGATTGAGCGACTAAGGCTCAAATATCGCCTGAGGGTGGTGCAGCAGCTGGAGGATGGTGTGGGCAGAAATGTGGTGCGCAGTGTAGTAGGAGATGGGTATTTCTCCCAAGATGAACTACAGGTGAGGTGCTGCCTTGCTGTTCAAGAACATTTTTTGTGAAAGTTATTTTAAAAGATAGCAAGAATTGTCATCTTGAAATAAATATATAAAATTTGTATATTGATATATGTGTCTCATAACTAGACATTAATCTAAGCAATTTTAAGACATTTACTGAAACAACTAAAAAATGAATTGAAAAAGTGGTCATAGAATGGAAGAACTGTTTGGGATCAAGTTCAATTTATTATCCATTTCTGGCTCCACACACATTGAAGCCATTTTCACAATAAACTACTTTTTAAGTAGCTCATAATCCTTAATTTATCAAAACCGTAGAACTAAATAAAGATTTTGTTACTGTTCCTAATCACAGAGCCCTCTGAAGTGTGAGAACTATGATATTGGAGGTAGTCCTATTGAATTGCTTAATGGTTTGTACTCATTGCACTGTGCCTGATATTGTTAACACACTAACCAATTCCATGGAGCAAAGTCCTTCCTGACAAGTTACAGTCACTCAGCTCACTCCTTGCCATTTATGGAACATAATTACTATCCTTAGCAGAGGCTGTTACTACACTCTATCCAGAACTGGATGGAATCCAGGTCACATGCTCGTACCCTTTTTGAAGTAGGTCTTGGATTCACATCTGGTGGATATTGAGTGTGTCATAATGAAATGTGTCTCAAAAGTAGGGCCATGGTTCCAAAAATGTAGTGCTGAATAAATTGTATGTGAATATTGTGGTGACTGTAATCAGAATTTGACAACCGGTGTATTATAAATACACTTGGTTGTTGGCTTACGACCAACTTCCGTTCTGACTGACAGGTCGTAAGTCGATCTGATTGTATGTTGGCCATATATTTATTAACAGTAATTTTTAACCTTTCTAATCTTTTTATCATCTTTATAATTTATTTTTAAAAACTTTTGCATTTTAATCATCTTTTATTTTTCATTTTTTTGTAGTCATAAGTCTACGACCAGGTGTATTGTATCAGTATGATGTGGATACATGTGTTTGGTAACACACTGCAGTTTTAGATACCTGTTATTCCAAAAGAACTTTTAATTTTATTTGTTCTGTATGATTTTTTTCCCCCTCCTTTGTTTTGAATTAAGTAAAAGTAAAAATACCTCACGTTATACTCGCATAAATTTTGATACGATGTATCATTGTGTGAGATTTGAGGTTCTTAACATGGTGAATATGAAGATATGGTCTTAAGGTATGTGATGCAATGTTGGATAATAGATATATACTAACATTTTGGAGGAACCTATCTACCGAATTACATGGCATTGCATCCCAGGAGACCTTAATCTTTATGAGTCCTTTTGCATAAATTTTAAGTGCATGATTGATTATTTAGGATATGTTATTAGGTCCAAGCAATACAGAGGCCTCATTATAATTCTTTTGTACTAGGATCTGTTGGTGCTGGTTAGAGAAGAACTGTTGAGCCAGAAACGGGTAACTGCAGATAGATATGACCCCACACAACCTCCATATGAAGCATATAAAGTTGACTTTGAACTGTTCCGACTTCTGTTTGTAGGCCTTTCCCCATGGGGGAAGGGCACATTAGCTGAATCTTTGGCAGCAAGAATTTTTAGGGTGAGTCATCCAATAAAATATTTAGTGGTACATATTTTGATTTATGTGGTTTTGTTGAAGGAATAGATTCATGCCATGAAACAAAGTTCCGAACTACTATTGTAATAGTAGGCATATTTTGGTGCATTTAGGTATCTCCTCTCACTCTTTGTTATTGTGCCATGGACACGTCTGCATTAGAAGTAAAAGTAATCATCAAATTAGATTTCCTCTTAAATTGTCAGCAGCAGAAAGTAAAGCTGTTTTCTTTTTAGAACATTTCTCATTTACTGGCTTTACATGATACAAACTCCATCTTCAGTGCAAACCATATATTATAGGTCTTTCCTTTACGCACTACACGTTTCGGCCACAGACGGCCATCATCAGGTGTATTACTCACGTATCTGCCACACTGCACTTAGTTTAACATTTAAAATTTAAAAAAACAGGTCTTCCTGATTGTTCCTTTCGTTGATATATTTGTTATTTACACACTTCAATTTTGATTTGTCTGAATTAGCACTTATAAAATCTTCAATTCTGATTTTAAAATCTTTTGAGTTTTCCTCTAAATTTAAATTTAAAATTGTCAGGGTTACTTGCCCTGTGTCTATAGTGCTGCAGCGGCTACTTCTTGTTTCTGGTACTGTATCGGTGTTATTCTGTGTAGTCTCTCTGTATGCGTGCCGCTGCTTGTCTTTACTACGTGTGCTCTACTGGCTTTACTCAATCTTGGAAGTTGCATCGTATGACTTGTATACCATAAGTATTTCATCTGCATGGAGTCTGCCTGGTGGCAGAACCTCAATTTTATAAGGTTTTGATGGTGAATAGGATGATAGGTAGTGCTGAGAATTGCACAGAAACATTCAAACTACAAGTGGAATTCAAACTTGTGATCCCCATGTCCTCTAGGCCTGAAACCATGCTTGCCTTAAATAATGTGACCACTGAAATTGGCTGTGATATTTACTAGGCATGTGTGAGGATGATATTTTCTGTTTGAGACGAGAATTTGGAAAAATTTTGAGAATTAAAGGGAGTATGAGAACTTTTTCTATGAGGCCAATTTAATTAAGATTTATAATACTAGCCATTTTTTCAACGTACTAATTCTCTTTTCATACCAGCTTCTTTTTCAGTGAAAAGTTGTCATAAATCATTGTATTTAAAGAAAGTAAGTCCTAGGGCTGTAACCTTTGTAACCATATATAAGTAGTGGGGAGAGACATATTTTGTTGACAGGTTGAGTTGTGCTGCTGTTGCCATCTGTTATGATTATGATAGAGCAGAGAATTTGCATGCTGCTATGCAAAGTAAAAGTACTTCAAGACTGGAAAATCAGCTTTCGAATCAACATCATTATTTTTATTAGCATTCTCTCAAGCTGTTCTTAATTGGTTCAATATAGTCTTAGATTCTTATATATCCTGGGATATTTGTCATATTTAATTATTTCTTTCATCCTGTAGAGTTTCATGACCAGCGAACATTGGGGTAGACTGTTTATTATTTCTTTATATATTGTGATGAGTGATTTTATTGTTACTAATACTACAGACAGAACTTATTGTTTACATCTCTTCATGGTGTGTTCTTTGTTACATTTCAGTACAAAAATTATGTGAATGAGTTTCTGTCCTGTATACCTACTATAAGAAACCATTATTGCTGGACATTTTTTGCATGGATCTTGAAAAAAGGAAAAATTGTATTAAAGCTGATTACAGTATGTGAGTTTGGAGTGGTTAATACAGTGGGAGAGTTTCCATTTTGTAGAGTACATAATCTTTCAAGATGTCTTGATGAAATAGGCTAATATAATAAGCCTATGATATGGTTCCAAACCAGTCACTGAAGAAGTATTGCTCTAATTTGTATTTGGGATGTACCTTGTTCAAATCTTGACTGATATTTTCTTTGATTTTCATTGTTATTTCCAGTTGAATGATAGAATAGTATCTTGAAATAGTGTTTGACTGTCTGCTTTCAAGTTTACCTGCTCACCTTTTATAGATCATCTTCCCATCTCATTTGGTGCTACATAACTTTTGCATTAAATTATCAAACAGTCAACTACATGCATCTCACATGGCTGTTCAGCACACGGCAATATTGTAGGTTTGCGAACCCAACACAACAAACAGGTTGATCTCATAATTGTGTCGTGAGACTTCAGTACAAAAGTATAGTTCCTTCAAATCACGTCAGTTGAACCAAGATCATTCAAAACTCTAAATCCTTTCAGTTAATGGATCGCAATGTGGATGGTCTGCTGAACTTCAGAGAGCTAGCAGTTGCTCTTGGCATGACCTGTACTGCTGACATCACACAACGACTGAAGTTACTCTACACACTACATTTACCTCCACTTTTGACAAGTGCAGAAATAGAATCACCCACTTATTCAGACAGTGGTCCAGAGGTTGCAGCTGAAGCGACAGATTTCTTTGATAGTATGGAACAGAGTGTTGCCTCTTTGGAATCTGTTTCCAGTCATGCTGAGGAGAGCGCCGTAGTGGCAGCTCGAGAGTTAGAACATGAACGGCCTCAAAGTATGTACATTAATTTCTACTTTATTATTTTAAAAATAGTTTTAGTCAGTATATTAGAAAACTTTGTCTTAAGTAAACAGTAAAACTGTGAAGTAATTCCCCTGTGTAAGAGCCATGCCATAAAGGCCTTCAGGAGGTGTGAAAGGAAATTGCCATTGCATAGTAGGCTTTGTCACACGGGGGTCTCAGCTTGATGTTTCAGCCACTTTAGCCATATCAGGAAAGAGCTGCCAGTGTGTTCTGGAAGCTGATGGGACGTATTGCCAATCTGCTAGGATTGGTGAAGAGAAAGGAATTTGTGGCCATGGCATGAAGTAACATTTTAAACAAGCAAACAGGGTTACTTGCTCTTACTACTAAGTCTGTAAATGTCTGGTGCACATTTGGATGCTGTATTATATAAAATTGTAGTTGTTCATGTGCATTTGTTATTTATATCCTTAAAACTCCAATTTGTTATGCTTCAATAATTGTTATCATGTGGGAATAGGGAATTTTGAACATCTCCGTATTACAGGATTGGTGATTGATATTCAACTGAGGAATAAGTTCTTCATCTGCAAATAGGGGATTTTAGATCTCTTAGTTACACAGGGCTGGCAGCCTTATTATAAGTTGAGGATAATAGTATTAGTACTGAAAATGAGAGCACAACTGGTAAAGGGTAAAACAAAAGTTTTTCACTGGAATTTGTGCATTCATAAGTTGAAACTTGGATATTCAGTTTCTGCAATTCTGTCATATAGTCTTTTTTGTCAAAAGTGTCTCTCATTGTACCAGTATATGTTTATATGCCAAACAGGGGAACATTCTTGGGAAGTTCGCAGCATGGGAAGCTTGCGATCTCTTGTCGAGACTCGTGACAGCCGTCCTGATTTAAAAAGTGTTCCAAGAATGTCACAGCCCCATTTCATCATGCTTTGGAAGACCATATATGATTTATTTCAAGCTCAGCCTGAAGATCTGGAGACCTACCATTCAATAGCAACAGTTGGTATGTGACATCTCTTATTCATGATTAGCTGAAACTTTTTCACTGCACATGTTCAAAAGATGTACACCAAATAATTTTATGATTTGTCTTGTTCTTATGTGTAATTTTCTGTGGAACATATTTTGCATATGTCATGATAAGGGAGTTATACTCGTGTAGTGGAAAATGTTCACTCCGCCTGCTTCTTCCACTCTACTAACAGTCTACATTGACAAGTTTTTGACTAATTGGTGTGTTTCCTATTACCCGTTAATAGTCTCATATTACTGACAGCGTAACATTTAGGTACCATCTTTCTCCACCAAATCACAAGTTGTCAGTTAACCAACATAATATCTTTCACATTATCTTTTCACTGAGGCTGCTTTGTCTGTAAATATAATGAATTACACTTTCTCACAATGCTAAGTGACAATTGTGAGAATCCCTGGAGGCATACATGAAAATGGTAAAAATCCTAGTATCGCAAAGGACACTTGTATGTACAAGGAGAGATGTGTAAACATAAGTATTATCAAATTGTCTTTAAAAAAGGTTTGTCATTGAAGAACTTGATACATGACATAAAATATGTGCAAATTGAAACATCTTTATATGTCGTGTATATATAACTAAATGCAAGGAAGAAATATGTCTGTAATTAGTATAGTACCCTAATTATTGAGTAGTAGGCCTAGCTGTGATGACAGTACATTTATACATACACTAACAAACACCAAGACTAATGAGATGCATATAGAAATTCACAGAAAGGGTGAGAAAAATACATATATGATATTTATTTGACAACACATTGTATCTAGTACATTGGCATTTTCTGAGAAAGCCATTTTATGCCATTAAATGTGAGGAGTGGCGTATTCAGAGTACTGATTGTCTTAAGTTAAATCTAAAGGTTTGTTATAAAGGTGTGATATTAAAGTGACACACATTGCAGGTCTTTCCGTTATCAGTTGCTGACTGTCATGTTCTTAGGGACTTTGTTACTTCAGTTGGGAGATGTTGGAAAGCGATTTTATATGGAAAAGGAGGAATCAGCTGATAGTCTGCTTGCAGCTGCTGCAGCACATTGGCCAGATTCTCAGCCAAACACTCCATCCACTGATCAGGTAACAAACATGTTCTTTTTACTGATACGTCTCCATACCTTCACCTTATGCCAGACACTTTGTACATAGTCTTATTGACATTTTAGGTTTTAGGGTGGATAATATAAACAGTCTATTGTACACTTCACTTTAACTAGGGGTATGCCAATAGACTAAACACTGTGAATTTAATGTTGTTCTTATAAGTGGCATTGTGATTGAACATTAAAAGTGACTTTCTACTGTCATCATTTGTCAGTTTTATTGCCAGATACTACTAAATCATCTTAACCTTCATTTATTAAAATAAGTAAAAAAACAAATGTTTTAGCATACCTTAAAAATATTTGTGAATGATCCTCCAAAGCATGTGGAGAAGACAAAATTTCACAATTTGTTCCTCCCTTAGTATCTTAGTGCAGTATTAGAATGACGAGAAGGCATAATTTAACATACGTTTTGTCTTAATGAAATAGTATGTTATATTGAAATTGAGATTATTAAAGAAACTGGAAGAGTATTCATGCAGTGTATTGCTTATTTATCCATTTCTTAGAAACAGACTTGTATATGGGGCAATAGCTTTTTTAGGTAATTTATATTGAAAATAGTTACAGTTGTGTGTATGGTACCAAAATAAAATATATTTTTACCTTAATAGTTACATTAAATATACATGAAAGAATATTACAGGTGACATTTTTCTTGATTTGGTCCTAATTGGATTATAGGAAATGTCTTAAATCAGATTAGGTGGGTGTCTAAAGAATGTAATTTGTCTGCATCTACTAGGGTACTTGTCCAAATTGGTGAAATATTTTTTTTATAAATTAATTTCCCCATTTTCTAATGTTCTTCAAATCAATTCAGTTTTCCAAACATAAAATTATTACTCGAAGTTATGAAATTATGCCATTCCCTATAACAGAATACTACACCATGTAATATAGTTTGTGTTACTTTTTGCCTAATTATTTAGTCACCAGACCGAAATGGAAATCCTGGTAGTGGGCCTGACCCACATTGGTGCATTACAGTGGAACAATTTCTGGCAACAGTACTTACTGGCCAACCTATTGTGGAGTTTTTTGGAAGAGAAACTTCATTGTCAGATGGCATCATGAAACTGAGAGGACGACGCTTCAATAGATTACATAGCTTATCAGACACAGCATTTGTCAAAGTGTGAATGGCAGACTGATACATAAGACTTGATTTGTGAATAATGTACAAAGAACTTAAAGGTGTCTGATTTCCATAGAACACAAAATGCCATACTAGGATGAATCACAGAAATGTTCAACATAATATCATCTCTGGTTTTTGTTCAGTTCCTTGGTGCATTATTAATGTACTGTTTTATGTGTATCCTGGTTTTAATTAATTTACTTCGTATTGCATCTTGAAGCACATGTTGATACTTCTGCATCTAAGTTATGAAGTACATTGTTTGGCAAGCAGTTTACATATGGGAGCATTTTTCTTTTCTCTTTTACATGTTAGTGTACAGAACAGGTATGGAAAGTGATTATGATTTTTAATAGTTTACCTTGTTCATTTTCATGGTAAGGAAGATATGTGTGGTGAAAAGGGGGTAAAGTGTTGGCAGACTGTTACTCTCTTCATACTTCCATCATTACCCTGATGAGTGTTTTAACGACTTCTGGGATGCTTACAATGCCTTATTTGTCACTAATTTGCTTCTGGCATTAAAGGCATCTGTTTCAATGTTAACATCCCATATTATAACTTCAACTGTATCATAATCAAGCATTTTTTAATACAGCATCAGAACAAAGAGTATAACAATAGGTAAAATAAAAGGGAGGAAGGCTTAAAACAAAAGTTTATGTACAAGCATTTTTAGTTGGTGGTTCAGATATTCATTGTTTAACCATTACAGCTAAGCCTAATCATACAATGCTGATATGCTAACTCTAATGCACTGTTGCAGTTATGGTGTATGATAGGTTTTAGAAGATAAAATTATATATTAGCATTGCCAGTTGTAATGATATTCTCACCAACAGTTGGAAGAACCATCCTAGATATTACTATTATTATAAGTTTGTATGTAATATTCTGCTATATAGATGTTGTGTAACCATGCTTATTATTTCACATAAACCAGATTTGTAATCAGTGGCAATCCTTCCAAATTTATATGATTGTAGTTAGAGCCTGAATGATCAACAGCCCATTATTTTTATTCCTATGAATTCTGTGTTCATGTTTCAAGTTTTTTTATCCAACATTAACATTTTTATACATTCTAAATTATTTTTATAATACTAGATAACTATATAGCATTTCATAATTCTTAACATGTCATTACATCTGGCAACTCCAACTTAATGGGAAAAATTTGTGCTAGTACCACATTACCTTGAACCCACTATGTGTTAACATGTGCTGTTTGGGATAACATATGATGATGTAATGCATGTACAATAATATTTTTTGGTAGAATATTTTTATTGCATTTCAGTGTCTCTGCCCTGTTGGTCATACAGTGTGTCCACAAAGTCCTGTCCAGGTTTTGAAAAATTGTGGCACGCAGACAAATTGAGCTAGCCACATGCGGTTTGTGGCAGATCATGGTGAAACTCTGGAAGTTTTCTACTGACCTCAGTAGACCTTGATGTGGGCTCTTTTGGTAACACGGAGAACATCCAGACAATATTCAAGCTTTTGCCATGTTCTGTGGAGCATGTCCACTTGAATAGACGTGATCGCATTCCTGATATGGGTCTTCAGGTCATCAAGTCTGTTAACTGGTGTTGGGAACACACAGGAAAAAATCCATTGGTGTTATGTCTGGTGACCGTGGAGGCCAAGGCATTGGACCGTCTCTGCCGATCCATCTTCCTGGAAATGTCCTGTCTAGGAATGCGGATTCTTTCCTGTGGGGTTATGTAAAGAGCAGTGTGTTCGAAACCCCAGTTGATGGACTTGATGACCTGAAGACCTATATCGGGAATGCAATCTCGGCTATTCCAGTGGACATCCTCCACAGAACAAGGCAAGAACTCGAATATCATCTGGACGTTCTCTGTGCTACCAGGGGAGCACACATTTAGGTCTATTGAAGCCAGTAAAAAATTTCCAGAGTTTCACTATGATCTGCCACGAACTGCATGTGGCTAGCTTAATTTGTTTGCGCACCACAATTTTTCAAAACCCCAATGGGACTTTGTGGACACACTGTATTTTATTTACATACACTTTTAACAAACTGTATTATCAGATTTATATTTTGTTGGGCTGAATATGTATATGATGTGTATAAGGCAGAGGTTCAAATATAAGTGTATAAAAATGTACAGAATTTTTCCTGCTTAATAGCACACTTCCACTAACATTCTTATATTGTCATACCAGGATTGTCTTGAGCAGCTGAGCTATCTCAGCATGCCTGTGCAAGCATCCAAAGTATGTTACAGTAGCTGTCCATTATCATAAAATTAATTTTGGCTATCTCAGAACACAAAAGATCGCTTATGCTGCCACCAGAGCTTGGATATACCTGGAGAAACACTGGAAAATCATTCCACGACCCATGTACAGATATAAATGGGGAGAACACTTAGAATTCTCAAAGGATTGAGGTGATGTCATTCATGGAAACTGAAGTATCCAGCTTTCATAAAGTACAAAAATGATAACATTTAACATAAAAATCGACTAATTATAAACAAAAATAAATATAATAAATGGCTCTAGAAGATATCACAAGATCGAAAAGCAGGCAACATTGCAAGCAGCTGAGTAATAAAACCTCACACCTTTCGTATTATAATTAGCTTGCATCTTCTCCTCCTTTTTGTAACACTTTATATTCAGTGAAGTCATAATGGCTCATTGACTGTAAAGGCTGTATTGCATGTACTTGTCTTGAAAGCTTCAAGTCATAGACTTCTTATGCTATTATTTTGATGTGTTGTTTGTTATTATGAATTTCTTGTGCTGCATGAAAGAACAGGGAGCTTGGGCTTAACGTGAGTATTAACAGGAACTGGAGTTCTCATAATCTCCAGTTTTCCATAAGGCCTTAGTCTTGCTAATGTGTAGCAGTCCTAAAGTTTCACTATATAATTTCAAAGATGAGACCTGAGGTTTTCACAGGGGTGAAATTTTAGATTGTAGACCTGTAGACATGCAGTTACATTTTGGAGGAATGTGCTGTATGCATCTTCAGGATGCTTTCTATATGTTGGTAACCATCAACATGACTACAGTGTCACTACCCAGATCACAATATAGACTTGAAAGATATTTTACAACCATGAAACAAATTCAAGTTCTGACTTATGTCAGCGATATAATGCCAGTAGTTGAGGTGTGTTAATTTGATCTGTACTGTCAAGACTTACGTCTGATGTGAAATCAAAAAACTAATCGATAGCATAATTGCTCACACATACACATGGTAAGACAACAGAAATTTTACATGTACAAATATAACCTCAAATTTTACTCTGAATGATAATCATACTGACATATAAACAAATTACGTTGGAGGAGTTTCTAGCTGCAAGGCTTGATTATCTCTTGTCATGATAATTGGATGGCTTATTGGTTAAAAAGTTTAAGAGAGAACTGAATGAATTACTACTGCATCACACTATCCACTGTTTTATATTTTTCATAATTCCCTACTTTTTCTTGAAGCATTGAGAACTAGCTGTATTTTGCCTTATTTTCTTATTACCCTTATAAGTGTTAAAGACCAGTGCAGCTACTCTAATATTTAATACTGCATGGTATTACAGGGGGGTTGAAAGACCAAATACAAATATTTTCCTTAACCTAGATGACAGTCTGGAAATGTAATTGTCTACAGATTTGTTTTGAATAAGGAGGCAATGTTTTTAAATTTTATGTGTAAGTTTTCAGTTAGTATCCACATTAGAATACTAATATTAAAACTACTAATTCCTGCTGGTGCTCATGAGAAAATAAAATATATTAAACATCAGAATTTTGGGGGCCATATTTTTTTCAGACAGTACAATTTAGGAAGATCTGAAGTTGATAAAAATCAACATTTGGCACTCTTTGTGCACAACTGAGGTTGGAAATTCTTCTGTGCAGAGTTGATATTTATGCCTTTTATGTTATGTTACAATCTCAGCACTGATCCTAACAAGCCATAAGCCCTAGCCCAGAGTATGCAGTATTTCACAGTTGTTTGAATTGCCAAAAGCAGCCTGTAGGCACTTAAATTGCTGTATGTAAACATGATTGTCATAAAATTATGTACAATGCTTTATTTAGAACAGTTCATGTTATAGCACTGCCACTGAACTACTGACAGCAGCATATAAACAAGAAGTCTGGGAAGAACAAATTTAACCTCATATAGGGCATGTGATTATGACACAGATCACACACAAAACACCGCATCCAGCAGTGTCTACTGTTGCGTGTGTATTCATTGCCATGGGAATGTATTTACCAAGCCATTGCCTAACAACAGCCATCTCTTCTGGTTCCACTATTCCGGCTCTCAGGCATTAAAGGGCGGACACACAGACAGTAAGGAAATCATATAAGCCTTTTTTATTTCTTCAGAATAAGGGATGTATGCTAAAAATACCATCTACATATGAATCTAGAACAGAAAATGCTGGCAGAAGCAATTTCAGATTTTGTGTAACTGTTTTTGCTTGCAGTCTCAACCATCTCTAGGCATTGGTAGAATTCCAAAACACAAAGTACAGAGCCACCTCCATTTAGTGTCCTTGATTTCACACTCCAGTTCAGGGATCCTAAGCCAGTAATCTTAGCGTTAAGTTTTTACCATTTAAGCTCTTCCCAAGTTTAGTATTAAAAACCATTGCTCCCCAAAGAATTTTCAAATGGGGTGGCACTGGGCCAAATGATAGGTAAGAGGTAACACTGTCCCTGTGCTTAAATTGTTTCTTGTCACAAAGACTTATGGGAAAGTGGAGATAACAGCTTCATGCATTCTTAATCTTAGATGGATGTGAGTACTGAAAGATAGGAACTTGTAAACTATAAATTATTTGCTTGTGTATAAATGTAGGGTATTTATTTGAAGTTGTGTAACAGAATGAAAATAAATCTGTATTTTATTACTTTAAAATTAATGTTAACAAACTACTTTGTCCATTATTCTACATATTTACACAGCATGTAAGATTATTTCCAAAATAATACAGATATTCAAATTCATCAATCTGAAAGAATTAAACTGGTTCTTAAAATAGTACTGTAATCACAATATTGGTCAAGATACTACCTGAAACAAAATATTCTAAATGGGATCTTATTAAAAAAGTAGTTTTATGTAGGGAACAACCTAATGTAATAAAAATATAAACAGTATAAAAGAATTGATAAGGAAGGGGGCACTCACACTGCTGAAGACCTACAGGGCAATTATGTCAGAACCTGCCCTAATCTGTAAGCAAGTCCCACAGAAGAGAGGCAAGATCCTTGCATCAACTCTGTCTATGCATGAAGAAAGCAGTCTTCTGGGATTTGGCACCGTGTATATGTGGTGTTAACCGATGTTCCCCGAAACGTCGGTTAACACCACATATACACGGTGCCAAATCCCAGAAGACTGCTTTCTTCATAGTCACCGCCGTGAAAGCCTCAAATCTGTCTATGCATGTTTGGGCCCACAGGCCAACAGATCACAAACAAAACCCATCCAGATCACAGCAGATGCAAGAAATGGTCCCATTGTTATGCTTACATTCCTTGCATCTCTATAGTGTTATTTTCATATGTTATAATTCCTTTTTGGAAATAAAGCAAACTTGAAACTTTAAACCTTAAACCCCAATCCTGTGCAAGGCATCTAAGGGACTTTCAAGTGGAACATTCAAGCCTACCACTCATTCATCCACTTTCTCTTGGCTTCTTAATTTGATTATTTTTTGTCCAGTAATGTCTCTGGATAAATGTATTCAGAGTTGTATGAAAGTTTTTTCTTTCCCCATATATTGATCTGTAATATTCTGAAGTTTATGCTGGAATCTCTTTACACAACCAGTTTTCATATAGGTATTGTACACGAACACTTGTTTGTTGCTCCACTGTGTAACTCGGCAATTCAGCACAGGTAATAACAGGACTGATTAGTATTGCACACATCAAATACAGTAAGTAAAGGCATCCCTGTAACAGGCCTTGGAGGCCTATAGGGTTGTGAGATGTTGAAGCTCCCACATTTTCTAGACAATTGGCTCACAGATGGCCGTGACATCAGTCTTATGCGCCGGCCGCCCTTTATCCCCAGAAATATTTTGTTAGAGGCTGAGTCAACCCCAGGGCCACAGTACAGCTGGAAGGAATAGGTAAATGTAGCAATAACAATACTACAGATCAGGATTTATGAATTGGCTGGCATTTAACATAGGAGCTCACTTCATGCTAGCTGCTCAACGATTTACTGGGGGTGATACTGGAGAGATCTGGGCTGATCTGACACAAGTAGCACTTGGAACTTCCACCTGAACAGTTTATGGCAGGCCCTCAAATAATTCCTCCATAAAAAACAACAGCTAAATCAACGTGTTTCTTAGTATTTTTAACTTTAAAGGAGAACATTTTATGAGAGAAGTTTATCAAGATGAGATCATTATCTGCAATCTCTCGTTAGTTTGGAAAGTTTATGGTAAGACATCTTCAGATGTTTCTTAGGGAATGTTCCACCTGAACCAAAATCACATCAGATTATGATCTCTTGTTTTACATTAGACATTTGTTCAGAATATTCCTAATGCACCCATTATTAGTTTTGCAAATTTCATTGGTGTCATCTATTGTTGCAGAGCTAATCACAATACAGATATCAGTAAGACGGAAATCAGTCATCCTTGTATTACATGGAACATTCATATTATTGACAGATATTTCCAATAAAAATTATGGATCTTAACAAGATCTCTATTTTATGTCATGTATCAGTTTTTTGTACAATGAGCCATTTTTTGAGAAAACTGACAAAGTTAAGTCTGAATTTTATGTAAGGTTATATTGGACTGACACAAATTAAGTTCCCCTTACAACTTTTAATGTATACTTCCCCTCAGTACCAGATTTTATCAAAATCTGTTCAGTAGTTTCATAGCTAAAGCACATAGTAACGCCACCCATTAACAACTTCATTTTTTTTTTGCGTATCCTTTGAACACAAGTAACACTGGACTTGAGAATTCTTACCAGGTAGAAAGCTCATACCTTCAGAGTATGGAACCTAATTTCAGTAACAACAGTATGGCTTGTATCAGACCAATTTTAATGCTGAACTATGGAACAGTCTTTCAAAAGTTCCACCCCCAAAACTGCATTCATAATACATTTTTTCAACATAATATTAAAGATAGACCAAAAACAACTGGAGAATATGAAATGTTTTAAATATTTGGATAGCTTGTTAACAGATGATGTACGTGTCAAATTAAATCTTGGATTGCCATGGCAAAAGCTGCATTTAGCAAGAAGAATCTTTTTACCAGCAAATTGCACTTAAATTTGATAGTGAAACTAGCAAATTAGTGAAATTAGTGAAACTAGTGAAATGCTACATTTGGAGCATTGCTTTGTATGGGGCTGAAACTTTGACACTTAGGGCAGTAGATCAGAAACACCTGGAAAGCTTTGAAATGTGGTGTTGGAGAAGGATGGAGAAGATCAGTTGGACCAATTATGTGAGAAATGAAAAAGTGTTATTTAGAGTCAGTGAGCAGAGGAATATTCTACACAAAATAAGAAAATGGAAGGCTAATTGGATTGGTCATATCTTACATGGTAACTGCCTTCTAAAATAAGTTACTGAAGGAAAGATAGAGGGGCAGATACAAGTGACCAGAAGACGAGGAAGAAGACGTAAGAAGATGCTGGATGACCTTGGGGACAGAAGAGGATATTTTCATTTGAAGGAGAAAGCTCTAGATGGCATCAAGTGGAGGAACTGTTTTGGAAGAGACTGTGGACCTGTTGTCTTGACAGATTACAGATGAATGAAATGAATGAATATTACAGGCTTGAACAACTATAAAGAAGAAGGTAAGGATGCATATATGCAGCATCCATTCTGTATGCTCAAATAATATTCTCACTACTAAAAGGGCTCACCATAAAAAATAGACATACAACATAAAATACTGTCATATTGTTACAAAATGTAGTTTTTTGTTAATTTGATATACATTAAGCATATAAATATAAAAAATTATATGAAGTTAAATGACAATACTAAGTGGCCAGTAATGTTGTCCAAAGTTATATTTTATTACCAAATATTTTAGAATACTGTGAAGATAGAGGCACTATATGTCTCCAAAAACATTGGTGCCCATCTACCAGACTATAATGTGGAGTCATAACCAAGAGGACCACAATATCAAGCCTCCCAACACATTTTTCACACAAAATTATATAAAAATCAGCAGAAAGGTTCAGAAGTTGAAACATAAAACAAATGTTGCTGTGATCAATGAGACAACAATAACCTTTAACTTTGTATAAAGAACACCTGAAATTTCTGAAATCATATAAAACTGTACAGAATGACTGATGAAAGTATTATGAACATACCCACCTTATTTACCCAAATATAAGACAAAGTTTGTTTCCTTTCATTTTAATTCACAAACAGATCGTTTACTCAAAGAATGAATAAAAATGCAATAAAAACAGAAAAACACAATTTGACAGTTTCTGCAAAAGTAGATCTGGAACATGTACCATATATCAATATGAAAATATTCACAATCAGCAATCAGATTCTCATTACCCTTACGACCACACTCACACACTGCGGTACAGGCTAATAATGAAGAATGAGGTCAAAAATGTTTTATTTAAGCCAGAGGATTATATGTAAGAATTTTATCTGAAGAAGTAATGAAGTTACTTTTCCTTAACACTTTCCATTCAGCAGGACCATATTATATCTAAGGACACCTTGTATTTGGATAGATATGATGGATTTCCTCTTCAAGAAGAAAATTAAAACTCCACAATATATATATATTCAACACCGTTATAAAACACTGTAAGTTCATTCAGCCTTAATTAAACAACTGAGGGTTTACAAACACAGACACAAAATAATATTTCATATATCATGTTAAGCTACCAGGGATCAGTATTGCTCTTTATATTATTCACATCTTTTCTGCTTAACATATTACTATTCTGTACTATATATTTTGTAACTCATATAAAAACACACATCTTCAAGACATTTTCAGCATTCCCTATTTGATTCACACTATGAAATATCATGTTGTTAGTATTTTAAGTTTAGTAATAGAATTAAAATAAGATAATATTACTGCAGAGTCATTGTTAATATCTAGATATTTCCCATCACATTTGTTCAAAACCTCTTCACCTTTCAACATATACACACACTCCACAATCTACATGCTCTTAAAAGAGAGCTACCCTGTAATATAACAAACCCAGCTTCTGGACTAAACACCTTCATTTCATTCTGTTCATACACACACAAAAAAAAAAATGATGTTTATTCCTAACAATGAAGCGCACAGGCAACCAGTTCAGCCCTTACAATCAGAAGCCTAGAACTGAAACATAACAGTACCTGAAAGGTCTGACTGTCTCATTGTACTGAGGAAATGAAATGTCATCACTGATAACCTTATGTTCTAGTTGGTTTTTACTTTTTGACAATTCTTCACTACATATTTCACTTTCATTATTGCGACCAGATTCTCTTATTTCACTTTATTAAATGCAAAGTTTAAGTTATACTTAACACATTGTTAAACTATAGGAAAATTCACCATGACGATATCTGCAATTGATGAATCATTTCAAGAATATAAATCACATAGCATCAAAATCAAATGACATTTTGAATAAGATGAAAACTCAAGTTGGTGACTTTGAAGCGACCACAGAAACTTCTAACAAAATATAATAGCTTAGTTAATAGAACGTACACAACTTCAAACTGTTATCTTATGAAAATGTACAAGGTGCTGCAATGATTCAGATTTCTTAAAAATTCATCTAGAAACACAAATTAACAATAGGTGATTCATATCAGGCACCCCATTTGATTTCAGTTTATTTTTGACTGGAATATATTCTGAGGGATTGATTTTATATACATATATAAAAAAAGCAAAGCTATCCCTAGGCCCATAGAGTTGAGAGACATCAAGGCTCCCAAATTTTCTAGACAGTCAGCTCACAGATGATGGTGAGGTTGTCAGCCTTAAGCAGTGGCTGCCCTTTACCCTCAGGAAGATTCCTGGTACTCATTTCTGTTGGAGGCTGAGTTGACCCCAGGGCCATAGTGCAGCTGGCCAGATTAAGACAACTGAAAAGATCTAATGACCTCATCAGGAATGAAACCCACTGCCTTCCAGCTTGTAGCATAGTGCCTCAACCAACTATACAACTGATTATTCCAGTTTTAAATATGACTACTTAATTGAATATAAATAAATAAATTGCATTAAACTGAAATCATTTTCAAGTATAAAAAATTTTAAATATCAGATTCAACATCATACAAAAGCAATGAACATTATATCCTCAGTTCATTTGTACTCATTCTTCAATTACAGCACACTTTGTACCTGTCACAAAGACTGTCGGTATGAAAGTTAGGAGGGCTGCAAGCCAGAAGCAATTAACTTAAAAAACATGAGTTAGCAATACAGCTGATTCTGGTGATTAAGTCACAAATTATTTCAGATGGAGGCATTTCAACCATGGGAAAAATTGAAGAAAGCAGTCTTCTGGGATTTGGCACCGTGTATATGTGGTGTTAACCGACGTTTCGGAGAAACGTATCGCCCCCATCTTCAGGGTTGAAGAAGTATAGGTAAATCTGCAAGCGACAACACCGTGAGACACGGTCAAGCAGACTCCGAAACGTCGGTTAACACCACATATACACGGTGCCAAATCCCAGAAGACTGCTTTCTTCATAGTCACCGCCGTGAAAGCCTCAAATCTTACATGGGAAAAAATATTCATTTGGATTTCAGGTAGAAAAATTGACAACAAAACATATGTCTCATAGAATGTCACAATATCAGGACTGTGATAGTACTATATTTAAGAAACTGGAAAAATTTCAGATATGGCCATCCTGTTACAAATGGATGAAACATACACTGATACCTCACATACATCCATATTTTATTCTGGCAAGTCTGATTTGTTTGTACCAGTTTCAAAGGAACAAAAATTAATCAAAGTGCATGCTAGAAGTGAGGATGTGTTTGTTAAAGGAGCTCACTTAACCACTGGGAATCATCATGGTGCACTGAACTACAAACAGTACAAAAACATATGGATAAAAGAAAAGTTGACTCTCGGTCATGACAAGGAAAGCATCATGAGGACAGATACTGCCCATTTTATAATATGTAAATTGATCAACACCAGATTTGAAGAAAAAGAGAATGCCTTGAATCCGAGAGGGGGAAGTCCGCATTCAGATAACATGGAAGGGGAAGGGACTGAATTAATCAAAGGCAATCAACACTACACATGAGATAAATGATATCCCTGCTGAATATCAGCACTCCGTCTTAAGACTACCACCATAACACCCAAGCCTAAACCCTATCCCGTTAATATGGGCCACAGTAAAGAACTGGGTGGCTCACAGATATTAAAAATGGAGTATATAATCCAGTCTACCAGTGCAACATCCATGCGTGACTGTAAGCATGTTAACACATACAAGCAGAGTACATGACGAATGAAACCTAAACTGATGAGGATCATCATTCATGTGGGTGGTGAGAGTGAAAGCAGCATATCCTGCATACACCTCACATTACAATAGAAAAGATAAACAGTAAAACATTTGCCTCCTGTTTTTAATTTCAATGAGATTTATGGACTTTACAAAGAACAATACACTAGTGATCAAAAAGTGGCATGCTTCTCAACAATGCATTTTTCTTTAATGTGTTCAGTCTATCCCATGCCCTTGAAAATGACATGCAACTGGTGTCATGCCTTCAAAAGACACCTTAAGATCACCAGGTGATAAACTCCATGGACTGTAGTCTGTAAGCATTCAGCAGGTGATACCAGATGATTTACAAAAACTGAAATTGCTCCACAAGAAACCAGATTCACAAAGAGAGGGAGAGAAAAAAAAGATGAAAAACACAAATGAAGCAAATTAATTCAATAAAAAATTGGTTTTATCTTTGACTTGTAGAAGACACTTCCATTTCTTATTTATTTGTGTAGCATAGTATAAGAAAAAACTGTGGACATTTAACCTCACGACACATGATGCAATGACTGAAAGTGTTTATATGCATGTGTGGGGAGTGAGAGTCAAGCTTCTTCAGCAACTCTTGAGACCAGATCACGACTCTGGAAGCATATTTAGAACTCCACGCATATAATATCTGATTCTGTATCATAACAGCTGTGGACAAAACAAATCCCAGAATTTCAGTCTTTTCGGCACATATTTTGCATACATCTCCCAAATTACAAATTAGCAATTTAAAATATTTTGTAACTGGGCATAGTTTTAATAGCTCTAACACAGAAAAATAAACTTTTTAATTCTGATATCTCTGTACCTACCCACTGGGTTCAAGTCATTTTAAATGCCCAAAAGCAGCAAAAAGTTATGCCAGTAATAAAAATAAAAAAAATTTAAGAACACAACTTTTTTGACGGAAGGACAGTTTAAAAGATGCTGGATTAGAATTAAAAAAAGAACACCCTCATGGTGAAAATGAACCAACGCCATAATCTGGATAAATCACTTTTCAACACAATTTTTTTTAATGATTTCGTATAAGATGTAAGTCTGTCAGTGATATTTAGTTGTCACTGTTGTATGCACACGACCAGAAACTTACAAAGGAGAAATCAGAGATTTCTTACATTTGTGTCATTACGTATATTCCACCAGTTCTAATTAATCTTACAGACAAGGGCAGCAAAAATACCGAGTCATTCTTTTTGTAGATTATTACAGAGAATGATGAATAGTAATTAATTATGTTGTGTACATGTGTGCATAAATTTTTATTAAGACTTTGTATCTATTAGTGTTTCCTTTATTTACTTACTATGTACATTGCAACCTCAATATAGCGAGAATTTTCCATAAAAATACTCAGTCTAACCGATATTTGTAATATACAAAAATGAATGAAATATGTGACCTTCAAAACTGTCTTGTAATTTCTAATTACATATATCATATTACAGTGCTAAAGTTTAAAAATATAATACAGGTACTTCAATATTTAGGCTCTTTTGAAGTGGCTATCATGGACATATTAAAATAACAATTAATATTATTTCTTATTGATAACTCTCACAACAAAACAATCAATAATATGTGTAAGTAGCTCTAGGAGATACTTTTGCTACATGTTTCAGCCTTCAAAAGACCATCATCAGGCAAATACATTTGAAGGGCGACTGCATTGTGTAAATGTCCGATCTGATGGTGAGATAGATTACAACTATCTAGTAGTATCAAATATTAAATAATGACATACAACATAACAACGGGCCTCCAAACACATCAACCATTGTGTATATAATATGTCCATATAAACATTACATATATTACGATTACAACTGCCAACTTCCAAATACGATCACATATACAACTTTTAACTGTACTATTGACTATGTAACTGGTTATTTTAAGACTTCAACTTTTATTGTAATTTATATTTTATATTCACTCATATCATTTTATATCACTGTATACACTTGGAAGTTTAGCACTGTACCCTATATTTGACATGCAATTCAATAACAAAATGTTTAAAGTATTTGCCTGATGATGGCCTTTTGAAGGCCACAACATGTAGCAAAAGTATCTCCTAGAGCTGCTTACACGTATTATTGATTGTTGTGTTGTGATGGTTATCAGTAAGAAATAATATATGATACACAACAGGATGCATTCATTGGGGGGGGGGGGACAAAATAAAAAACAAATAACAACATTATCAACATCTGACATAAGCTCTTGTACACACAATCAACATGTGATTGGTTGAATGGACAGAGAGGAGCATAAATGACCCTAAACGCATTCACTTTATGTACTTCATGCTAGGAATACACAACAACTGTCAGGCAAAAGAACACAGCTCTCAGTTTCAGCATATTATGGATCAGATATTGGAGGCTTGCAACCCTTCATCTCTCTTTGTGAATTCAGCTATAAGGTTCATCAGCAAGATCACCATGTGTGCATTCCCTATCCCCCAGACCTACCATCTATACTCGAATAATCTTACCTTTGTTTTCAATTTCATCTAGGCATATATTACTATATTACTTGTTTGCAGACTATGAAAACAGACCACATAAATACAATGTACATGTCATCAAAACCATCATGTTAGTGACAGTCTGTTCTTCAATTATCTTGAGGAGGGATATCCAGATAGCTTCAAATAGAGCACAAGGAGGTCAAATCAATTAACCTTTATCATAAGAGGCAGTCAATGAAAACAGTCATGGTACTTTCTAATGGTACAAAATATCTATAAATGTCAAAACATTGTCTGTATTAATTCTACACTTTACTTAACTCACAATTTCATTTAAAACTGAGCTGAAAATGAAATATGCATCACTAAACCCTTCTACTTTCAGTGAAGCTCATGACAGATCAGAGTTATAAACTAATCACTTAATATCACTCTGATTGGACACATCCCTGTTCCGAAAGAAACCCTTTTCAGTCTTGCATTCTCTAATTGTAACTGTCTTGAGGTTGACTGTAACATCTGTTATGAAAACCTGGTCTGCCACTGGATTCCTTGCATGCCAATATTCAGAACTGGGACTTGTCAGTAACTGAGGAATCAGTGTGGGAGGCGGTTTATCCACTTCATCCAGACTTCCAGTGTTAATATTACTATTACTACTGTAAGCACTAAGATGTCCATTCACCAGGCTTCCACCTGTAACTGAGACACTGCTGTTTAGAGCAGATGTTTCTCCTGTTTGGTCCATGACAGTACTGCCACTAATTTCCCCTGTGGCAACAGTGCTGCTTTCCTGCTGAGAACGTTTTTGCTTATGTGAATCTTCTGTTCGTGAAGTGGTTGCTGTATCTGTCCCCTGCTAAGAAGAAGAAGAAGAAGTTATAATACCATAATGTGGGAATATGGTAACTGAAGGTATGCTCTTTAGGAAACAGGTTGAAGAGGTAGGAGCACATCACAAGGCCTTTTATATTTAATGTCAGTTTACCTTTTTATAATGAACCTATTTTCATATGTGAAGCTGGTGACCAAATTGTTGAGGTATAACCATTATGTCTGCAGTGAAAGAAATGCCACTACCTAGTTTCAGAAGAACTGAGTTATAACGAGTGGAGACAATGCAACGCCTACATTTTAAATTAAGTTAGTTTAAATTTAGTTCTAATTCTGGGCTGGCTTCTTTAATCTGTTCAGAGTTATGGACAATCAATATGAATGACTTTTATATCCACAGCCATATTATTTGTACATCATACTTTGAAAACCTTACAAGGATTACTTACTTGTGGGTAACAGGCTTAGAAAGTGCTAACAAATTATAACTGACAAGAGTTCAACTTCAGCCAAGGTGTCCTTAGAAAATATTCAGGGAACCAAACTCTTTTTGACTATTATAATAAGTGAGATTATAAAAGGTAAAAAGGTAAAGCTATCCCTGTAACAGGCCTTGATGTAGGCCGCGCCATAGCTCAAGTGGTTAGTCACTGGCTACCCACTGCGGCAGCCCGGGTTTGATCCCGGGTCTGGTCAAGTGGGATTTGTGGTGGACCAAGTGGTGCTGGGGGGGGTTCTCTGAGTACTTCAGTTTCCCCTGCCAATCTTCATTCCACCAATTTCTCCACCATCATAATCACCCGGGGCAGGCTAGAATAGGCCAATTAGTGGCCGCCGTGCCGATCTATCGGAGGCGTTAGAGACTACGGTTGGGCGGGAACTGTCCTGAATTTGGCTCAGTGACCTCCTTTGGAGATATGAGGTTCTTTTACGTGCCGTAAAGCTACAACATGGGACCCACGGCTTAAGGTCCCTCCCGGAGGACTTGTTCCCTGAATTTTTCCGTCCTTAAAAATTCCACGACCTCCGCCGGATTTTTGAACCCGTGTACCACAAGTCATGAGGTGGGAACGTTACATCTAGACTACGGAGACCGCTTAGTCCACTTTGTAACTCACATGAGGATGGAACACAGCACATCAGCATATTTAGCATTTGTAAATATCTGTGATATTTTTTACAACACTCCTACAGTGTCACAAGAGCCAACTGACACTTCACACCAATTCACATGTGGGAGGGAAGAACAATATTGGGTAAAAAATCAAAACTATTGTACAGTGAAATAACTCTGTCTCAGAAACTGTTCAGAAAAGGACACATATTTGTGTACACTTTTTTGCTTGGAATGACCAACACTATGACCTCCCAGAATATTGACCTTTACTCTGTTGACCCTTGTATATGACATTTTTTGACACCCTTGCATGTAACATTCTAAACAAAAAAGAAATCAACAATTTCCCCAAGGTCCTCTTCAGGAGGAAAATATTCTGCACACATCACTTTTTTCTTCAATGTGCCATTAGGGAGAAATACAGTGGGACATAGAGACAGTTACATATATGATGTATGTATCATGCAGAAAAATCTGCATTGCAATTTCAGAACTATTTTTGTTGTTCACAGTGGTTACTTGTGCTTAATGTTCCCAGATTGTTGGACTCGCATACATCAGTGTGTCTTACTGCTAAGTTACATGTGTATATTGTCACGTGTTGGGTATGTCTTACGACAAATAACTTCACGCCGTTCTGGATCTAGCGAATTTATTGCACTCGCTCTTACAATTACATAATTCACAATTTCCCAATTACTGCCATCGGCAGTATGACAATTACGTCTTCTGCTGTAGTTACTGCCATTCACTCGATACACTCAATAACAATGGACCAATGGAGTTCAACTTACTCCGGCGAACGCTAGACTGCAACTGACTGGTTACTCTCTCTCTAGTAACTGCCTCAATACTCACTACTCACTACTCTAGTAGCTTCCGCACTGACAACACAGAAAACAGTTACATGATAGCTACCACTGTTGTGTAACATTGTGTTTACAGGTGTTGCTGGGGAACGCTGCCAAGAGTTGTTTATTGCTGTGTAGTAACTGCGGTGTCCCCTGTAACGTCACTGTGGGAAGTGCTGTTATGTCACCGCGGGGGAGGGGGACAGAGTGTTTACTGGCCTGTTACCGTAGCAGCGGCAGTTGCTCCGATGATGTTACGTCANGGGGGGGGGGGGGGGGTGTTTACCAAGTGTTTCACTGGCCACGTTACATTTCTCCTTTCTAAAGGTTTTTCGTCCCGAACAGCCTAACGGTACATCCACGTTCTTTTTTCTTCTCTGGTATTCATCTTCGGGGCGCTACCTACGCTCCCATTTTATTAGAAATGCTTGTCTCAAGCAATTCCATGGTTGTTGATTCCATCGTTTCACACTTGTCTCTCACATTCATCCATCCATCGCTCATTCACTCGTTCTAGCTGGGGAGGCCAATGCTTCTGTGTTACTGGTTCCTCCACCATGCGCTATTCCATTTTTCCCGTTTCAGAGGGGGTCAGCCCCTCCACAAGGTCCAATCCATGTCTTGTCATAGGCTGACAGAAGATGTGACTATTCACTTTGTGATCTTCAGGCTGACAATCTTGTAGAAGGTTTTTTTATGAGTTCTTCTCCCTCCTAGGTGCGATCACTGTCCTGATCTACACCCTCCGATGGTGTCCTTAGTTGGCACCTTTTCTTCTGGCATAGCGGCCATCCGCTGCCTATGTTCTTAATTCACGTCCTTCCTTTCCAGGTTTTTTGTTCAGCACTGACGCTGGTTGAATATTTCTTTACGAAACCTCCCTTGCACCATGTCACACCTGCACGGCTAGTCATATTTCTGTCGGCAGCAAATTCATGTCGTGGTCCACACTTTCCTTGGGTCGTAGATTTCCTGAAGATGTTCCTTTTGCGCCATGCCACTGTTGCATGGTGGCACACCTTCCTGCTGATTTCTTCTGCTGTGCCACTTCCACATGGCACCTCATCCCTCTGCGGGGGAGGGCCAGTCTTCTTCGGCACCCATCCTTTTCTTGGGTCCATTTCTTCATTTTTCACTGGTTTTGGCCCCTATGCCTTTTCTTCTTTGGTTCTCCAACTGGCATTACTTCAGCGTCTTTTACAGGGACTTCTCATTGTTGGGCCACCTCAGGTTTCCTGTCCACTGAGGTTGGCTCTTCTCCTTTCAGACATGCCTCCATCTCTTGGCAGGCCACCGTCTCTGCGTCCATTTCGGGTTTGATTTCGGCCACCATCTCCTTGTGGCTGGTGTCCATCATTTTCATCATTTCCTTCAGTTCTCTATGCTCAGCCTGTCTGTCAGCCTCCAATCTGGACAGCAACTCTTTATGGCTGGCCTCCATCTTAGCTTCGTTTGCATCTAATTTTGCCATGATTTCTTCTTTGTTGGTCCTCAGTTTCTTCAGCAGGAGTTCCATCATCTGTTGCATCTCCATTTTGTGGCAGTATAATACTCGATGCACTCAAAAATTCGATTATTCGTCGGGGTGTGTTCAAGTTCGTAAACCAATTCTGACACCAAATTGTCACGTGTTGGGTATATCACGCAACGAATAACTTCACGCTGTTCTGGATCTAGCAAATTTATTGCACTCACTCTTACAATTACACAATTCACAATTTCCCAATTACTGCCATTGGCAGTATTACAATTACGTCTTCTGCTGTAGTCACTGCCATTCACTTGATACGCTCAATGACAATGGACTTCAACCCACTCCGGCGAATGCTAGACTGCAACTGACTGGTTATTCTCTCTCTAGTAACTGTGGTTCAATACTCACTACTCACTACTCTAGTAGCTTCCGCACTGACAAAACAGAAAACAGTTACGCGATAGCTACCACTGTTGCGTAACGTCGTGTTTACAGGTGTTGTTGCGGATCGCTGCCAAGAGTTGTTTATTGCTTGGTAGTAACCACGGTGTCCCCTGTTACATCACTGCAGGGGAGGGGGATGGACTGTTGACTGGCCTGTTACCATAGCAGCAGCAGTTGCTCCGATGATGTTACGTCGCCCCTAGAGGGGGGTTTACCAAGCGTTGCGCTGTCCACTTTACAATATCAATCACTTCTCAGTTAGTGGGCATCAATGACAGCCTACCTGTGCTGAGCTTGACAAGTTAATCCTTACAGAAGTCTAGAATCACTCCAACATTGAAATAAAAGCAATTTCCCTTGAATATAAGAGTCACTGAAAATATTGTCTTTGAGCACGAGCGGATACACACACACATTTTTTCTATAACATTTAAACTAGACAAGAATTTGGAAAAATTTTTATATTTGAGGTGAGAACATGAATTTTCTTTAGTAGATCAGTTTCTTCACTGTAATAATTTACAACACTATCCTTCTTTTAATAAACATCTGACAACATGTTATACATGAAATTTATTGAGTTAGTTCCCTTCTTGAAATCACTAGCCTTTGTTCAGCTTCACCAGTCTGTACACCTACCTGTTCTTGTGATGTATGACTGGTGACAGGCGATAAAGCAGGAGCTAATATTTTTTTGTCAGTGCTGTTTGAACGGGGACTGGTGGGCGAGAGAGCTGGAGGTGGAGAAGATGCGGGTGATTTTGATCCACGGCCAGAAGCAGGGGGAGGAGATCCTGCAGACAGTGCACATCCCACTCCATCTGCATCATCTTGAGATATCACTGATGCATCTGAGGTTGGCTTCGAACTTGAAGGACGACGACCATGAACTTGCTGTGGCTGTCATTCCAACACATTTGTTCTTATGATATTAGGTTCAAGATATGTCTTGTATGCCAGTGTCCAACATGCACAACCGAACAAACATACGTAGCCACTCAATTGGTTGCATTATGTGAACAGATAATGACTTTATCAGTCAACTGCTTCCTGATCAGCTGAGTAACAGGCAGTGACCAAGTCTGTCTTTGTCAGCAGATTTCTGTTGACACTGTTTGTCACACCATGTCTACATCAATTTAGGTAATAATTTAAGACATTTTAAGACACCACAGTTCTCCATCAAAAACATGCTGTGCATCCCCAACAGTGATGCCATTATGGTAGTGACCAAGCCAAAGTCACATCATATGCACATTCAGGCATGTGTGGAAATATGTCTAAGCATGTGCATAATTAACATTGGTACCAGGAAACAAGCTTTGTACTATTGTAAAATATGTCATTTCCATGCAAAATGATGACATCACAGTTGACAGTAAAACTGTTACTGGAACTGCGAGAAAAACAAACAAAACAAGACGCCTCTATGAACCATAACATTATTTTCTTAGACATATGATCATGAATAATTATTCAGGGATCCAATTTCTAAACTAAGTAAAACTGAACAAAATCATTGTAAATCCTTTCGACTTTGTGTTTCAAGCTGTATGTATAGAACTCCTAATTTTCAAGGTATAGACCCATTGCTGGGTGGTGACTCCGTGAACACTGACCGCTGTTACACAACAGTGCCGTAAACATGCTTCTACACTAGAAGAACTGTGTTTTCTATGTGGTCTGTGTTGAGAGGTTATAAGAGAGTTGACTTTTGACTTTGAGTTCAGTTGAGTTTTGCATGCTAGGCTGTGAAGATAGGACCTGAGTGCATAAAGTTGAAGAATCTCCACTGTTAGAAGCTGTTGCCAGAGAGTGGCTGGTGAAGACACAGCAAGCTGGAAAAGGCTTGGTGGGTGCGTTGGTGATTTGTGAATTCTGGAGATTAATGGTGGCACTATAATTATTTGTACAGTGGAACCTCGCTTAACGAGCATAATTCATTCCAGAGTCTTACTCGTAATGCGAAACACTCGTTAAGCAAAACAATTTTTCCCATATAAATTAATGTAAAATATGATAACGTGTTCCATGCCGAAAAAATACTCAACAAATTTTATGTATAAGGTTTAAACCAACCTGGAATGCGAATTCGATTTGCGGGAAAAAAGAAAAAAAAAATTGAAATAATTAGTTTATTATTTATGATACATATCTAATTCTTTTTTACTAGAAAGCTGTCTAGAGACATTTGTTTTTGTCGATGCCTCAAAATTTGGTGAAAATGCGACACAGCATTATCATTAAATAAATTTGTAGTGCGCATAGCCACTGCCTTATTAGGGTGATGCTTCTCAATGTACGATGCAACAGTTTCCCATGCTTTCAGCATTTCTCTTATTGTGCCACAGGATTGTTGCTTTGCTGTCACCTCCTCCTCCTCCTCTGACAAACTCTCCTCCACAACTTCTTGCTGTGAAACACAATGCAACTCCAAATCGTGGATGTAGACCGACTGTATGCCATGCTCACACCTTGTTCTCGCTTTTCAATGATTTTACATTTCATTTCTACAGTTATTTTTATTCTCTTATGGCTGTCTTTTGTGGCTTTTTCTTTGGAGACATTTTTGCAAGGGTTATTAAACTTTGCACATAAAAAATCACAAATAATATGTCTGAACACAAGTTTGGAAAAATGTGTGATCACAAGCGACACTAAGATGCTAGCGAAATGAGTGCTAAACACAGACTGATGTAGCAAGTGCACAATCTGGGACTTCCCCTCTCATCACTCATTATGCGAAATGTTGCTCGTTATGCGAGTCATTTTTTTACAATCTGTTTTCCTCGTTATGCGAATTACTTGTTATGAGAGGTGCTCGCTTAGCGAGGTTCCACTTTCTTAATAATTGTGTGTATAAGTGGTCAATAAATCCAATATCCAATCAAACCCCATCTACAGTCATACACATACACATGACAATATCCATATGACATTGCAAAGGACATAAATTCTTATAAATATGCAATTTAGAGAGCTTGGTGTTATACAGTGCAGAGACATAAATTAAAAATAGAATAGTAGATCAGAGGCAAGTGCTGAAAATTTGGGAAAATTATATTTCAGAACTATATGATCGGCCTAATCGGCCAGAAACCTTAGAAGTTGAACCGGAAGAAGAAGTAGATACAGACGAGAAAGGACCATATATTTTA